AGATTGATTAATTTACAAGGGCAATTATTGTTTCCAAGTGGGGATGGGGAAAGTTTGGAAGAAGAATGGGAATTTGAAGGGTAGATTGGGGATTTCAAAATGTTTATTTATCACTCTCCCCGGGAGGGACTCCATGGGGTCATGTCCATGGGATAGCTCCCCAGGACCCGCAGGAAGGAGGTGAACTCCTGAACCTCTGCTAGCGCGTTCTGCGCCCTCACGTCCGCCATTGATGCCTCGAAGTCCACATAGAACATGTACTCGAAATGCTTCGCCGTCCCGACGTTCTCGTCGTCGACCAGCCGGATTGGCCGGTTCCGGTGGGGACGCGACTCGATCTTCGTCAGGCTGATGTTCCGGAAGGCGAAGGCGGAGAGGACCTTGAACAGCACGCTGGTTCCCTTGTCGTGAGCGAAGACGATGCTGGTTTTGAACGGCCGATCTGTTCTCGGGATGATTGGCTCCCGCGCTAGCATCACGAATCGGGTCACGTTGCTCGAGTCGTCCTGGATTCCTTCTTCCAGGATCTGGAGTCCGTACAGATCGGCGGCGCGTGCCGACGCGATTGCGGCTGTGTCGCGGAGGTTGTTGGCCGCGATGTACTCCGCCGCTCCCGCGGTGTCGTCCACGGCCTCGCGCGCGACGTTGAGGCCTAGTTTCGTCAGGGTGAGCTCGCACTGGGCCAGCGCTTGCGGATGGCTGATGACGCGCGTGAGGTACTCCTTGCGGACGCCGGGGAGAGCGAGAAGGCAGTGGTGGACGGAGAGCTGGACCTCGCCGACGATGTGGAGGCGGTGGCGGAGGAGGAGGTCGTAGTTCCGGTGAATTGAGCCGCCGAGAGAGTTTTCAACGGGGAGGACGGCCCGGTCCGCAATCCAAAGCTCCACCGCTTGAAAAGCCACTTCGAACTGGTCACAAGGTATGGCTTCACAGTTCGGATACGCCTTCCCGGCGGCCGCTTCGCTGTACGCGCCGGGGACACCCTGGTAGGCGACGCGAAGCTGGGAGCCATGCATCGGCGCAGGAGATAGATCTGCAATCGACAGAGGCTTAGGAAGGCTGCTCTCGAGAGGGACCAGATCCAGAGTACCATGGCCGTTCACGGTGGTGATACCGCCGCTCTTCTGAACATCCTGCTGCTGCGACACAACCTTACTTGCCAAAATGGCGCACGAGCTCTGCCAATCGGCGCGCGTCGCGCCGACTTGACCGCCGAAATTCACACTGGACGGCGCGGAGGCGGTGTTCAGGGAGGCGTTGACCGAGTCGAACCGGAAGGCGCATTGGACACCGAGCCGGTTCGGAGGGATCAGGCGAGACAGAGAAGGCGGCCTGAGACTCAGAGTGGAGGAGGAAGAAGAAGAAGAAGTGAGGGATTGGATTTGCATAGTTGATGGAATTGAAGAGCTCAAAAAATGGATGCTTAGATTCGAACCAAATGGGGAAAGGGGAGGCTTGGAAGTTCTCTAAAGCAGAGGAACGTTCAACTGAGAGATAAGAGACAAGGGAAAAGGGGTTATATAATGGTAGTTGGGAATGGAGAAGACTTTTCCATTGGTTTAGAGAAAATTGCAATGGTAGTTCGATCTATTTCACACCTACCCCTCACGCCGTCTCCCTCTCTCGTCTCTATCAATGGAATATATGTGAGGGTGGGCGTTGCGCAGTTGATTAGGCAAAGAGTGTCAATGGGTTAAGACCCAAATTTGATTTCTGGCAACTGCACTGGAAAGTCTTATGCTACCAAGTGTGGGTGTCACTCTTTGCCAACAATCTGTGATTAAATTCCAATTTACTTCTTTCAGTGACTGTCTGGCCGAATCTAATCTGAAAACGCCCTCGGAAATGGGGTTCATCCTTTTTTTATCAATAGAGTATATGTGAGAAAGGTTAGGACTTAGGCCCCAAACCCCAACCTTAAATTTTACTGTTATAGATATTACAGATACAGAATAGTATCGAAAGTCTGTAAGAATTAAATGTTAGATTTCAATGTTGAAATTAAAATAGGATTTTCCATGTGAGAAATGTTAGTCACAAACAAAATAACTATAAAAAATAATACGGAGTAGTAATTTATACCTACAAATAATAAATTTGTAAATTTTGTGAACATTTTACATGTGACTAGCATTTCTCATATATCTAACCTCTTGTGTTATCTTGCATTTCCTACATTCTTTATTAGGAAGTAACTACTTTCTCCGTCTCAAAAGGATTTTCTCATTTTGATTTTTAGAAAATTAAAAGGATGAATATTAACTTTCAAAAAATATTTTTGATGTGATATATATATTATTAGTAAAAAAAATATTGTATATTAGATAGGTTAAGAATTAATAAGGGTTAAAAGTTCTACTCTGTAATAGATTTACGGTCCACATTATTTAAGTGTGGATGGCAAATAAATAATTACTATCTTGATAAGTACTTTTTTTGTAAAACAAAAAGTAAAAAAGTGCTTGTAACATAAAAAGATTTACAAAAAATAGTACAGATCTTAAGTCTATCAAAAAGTACTGCAAAAAAAAGATTTACTCTCTTTATCTCGTTTTAAATTGTCTGTTTTGACTTTGGGACATGTTTAAGGAAAAGAAAAAATAGGGTTGACTTTCCGAAATTACCATTACTTTTAAGGAGGGGCGACGATGAATGAGAAGATAAGGTGGAGAAGAGTGACTTATTTTATGAATAGTTTAGGTATTTTACTCTAAAAATTTTACGATAACAAAACAGACAATCTATTTTGGGACGGAGAAAAAAAGAAAAACATGACACTTCAGCATGGTGTGTTGAGTTTGAGTCTTAGACAGAATAATAAATACTCCCATGGCATATTCCCTCATTAAAACCTTTTTTTTGTTATTTATAAAATAAAAAACCTTATTTTGTACTCCCTCCGTCCCAAAATATTCACAACATTTGCTTTTTTAGCAGTGTCGAGAACTTTTTTTTATTTCAACATTTTCATTGATTATTTGATAAAATAAAATATTCTTGACACTTCTTATTTCGAAGAACTTTTCATGTAGTTTTTTTATATGTAAATTTTATTTTTTATTTCTTTACCAATATGTAAATAAAATGAATTGAAAAAACTTAATATTTTGCCTTGGAAATACAAATGTTGCAAATAATTTGGGACGGAGGGAGTATATTACTCCGTCCGCAAACCACATTTGGCAAGGTACTTTGGAGTGTCGTTAGGCCCATCGGCAACGGAAATAACGTGCTTCGTAGTTCGTAGTAGTGTATGGATGTGGTGTACTTAGAGAGAGCATTCATTTGTAGGGATGTAAATAAATCAAATATTTTAAATTCGATTCGCGATTCGTATTTGAATATGATGATTCGAATTCGCGTTATTCAAATACAAATTCAAATTCAAATATTATTTTTGATTCGAATGTTAATCAAATACAAATACAAATAGGGATATATTTGATTCGGATGATATTCGAATATTCGAATATATGCATATATACACAGACCATGTTTTCAACATCAAAAGTCAAGCAAAGTAATATACGGAGTAGTATCAAATGTATTTAAAATACTAAGAATTCAATAAATTAACGTAACACAAAAATCTAAAGCATATGATTTTTAATAGTTATATTTATAAAATATAATTTGTGTAAGATGCAAATGTATTAATGTTTTTATATAGGGAATATAGTATAGTATAAAGAGTATCGTAAGTTAAATTACAAATTGATGTTGGTCCATCATATAAATTACATAGTATGATTATTCAAATGTTCGTTTATGATTCGATAACTATTCGAATATTAATCAAATATTTATTCAAATCTTATTTTGAATTCGTCACATATTCGAATTCGGATTCGTATTCGAAAAAACTAAACAAATACAAATTCAAATATATCGGTATTCGCTTCGATTCGATTCGTTTACACCCCTATTCATTTGGAGCTTAACTGTTTATGCTTAAGAATTTTGAAAATTTTATTTCAATATGTTTGGTACACAGAATTTAAGTCATGAAATTGAAATTGAAGACTTCAATTTTAATTCTGCAGTTTGGTAACATAAAAATGTGTAAATTTAAAATTGGTAGTGCAAAAAATAAATTAAAATTAAAGAATTCAATTCCATTTAATTCGATTCTATAGCATTCCAATTTTCAATTCCAAATTTACCAATTCTGTATACCAAACGGACCCCGAGAGTAAATGAAACTCAAAATTTATCTAATTTCATAGGGGAAAAAATAAATTGAACAAATACACTAAGACAGAGAAATATATGTCCCTCCTCTGGTAAAAGGGATCTAAGTGTTTTCCACTAATATGGCTCACAATGTTTCCCCCTCTCATATGTGTAAATCCAAACTATTCCCTTTGTTCCCCATAACATTTCTAGTTACGCTTCTTGTTTGTGTCGAAAAACTTTACCATTTGGCCTAAATGGCCATAACTGCTCTTACTTGACCCACCCCAACTACATTCTTGGCCCCTATTCATTTTGATATTTTTCAAACTCAACTCGTTTAACTTCGATCAAACTTCTATAGCTTCCCCTCTCAAAAGTCAAATCAAAAGATGATAACAGATGAGAAATGATAACCAAAGTCAAGAAGATAGAACAACAACAAATATGCCCCATGGCTAACAACACACAAAGAATTAAATAGCATAACCTTTTCATGCAAGCCCAAGTAAAAATCCCAAAATCCGCACTAAACCGAGGCAGTAAACACAACTTAGACACTCATCTCACAACCTTGGGTAGAACATCTACCCCAGCATGATGATTAAATGTATATAAGGCATAAAAGAAAGCAATGAATGAAGCAAATAAACTGAAAGCATGGAAAGGGTCCAAGAAAATGGAATCTGAACTTTTAAAAAAAGAAATCTAAGGTTAAAGAAATGACATAAAAAGGTTGAAACTCCCTACTAGAGCAAAGCTACAATGAAAGAAATGCTTATCCTTAAGGCTAATCTAGGACTATTTTCATATGGGGAGCTCCAGAAATGAATTTCATAAACTCCAGTTAATTATTGTGTGCTAAATATCCTATAAATTGCTGAGACAAACTTCTAATCCTCATCAGTCCATCAAACCCCCTTTTCATACCCCCTTTAATCAACACACATTAGTTAAACTCTCCCAAGAAACAGACATTGATCCCTATAGCGGTCTAAACACATTTAGTGAAAAGAATACGTTTCAGTGCAATTAATTAACTGAGTATCTTCTCACACTCTTCTTGAGGCTAGAAATTCGTTTCCGATGGTTACGGCCCTGTCGGTGTTGCTCCCACTCGTGAGCACCTCTGAGCACCTTATTACCGCATGCCTATATAAAAGTGTTCATCAATCCGAATTTCACAACCAGAAGCAGTCATTTGCTTGTATAGTTCATGCAGACAGTCATCGACTAAAAAAGAAATAAGATAATGCAGTAATAACAGATTTTGAACACTACTGACCTCACAAACAAATTGACTCCATTGATCTGTTTGGTTTAGTTTTATGTCTTTGGTGTTAGCTCCGGTGCTCTCCAAGTACAATTCTCCATTGAGAAAGGATTTTATGATTGCGACGGCTGGCTCAACCACTTCTGCTGCCCAAATCTCATCAGAAGCCGCTACAAAGAAGACCACATCATTTGAATTGAGATATAAACGTTTTAAAAAAACACAATTTCTCAAGAAAGAAGACCACATCAACCCTCCTTTCAACCTACTCTTATATCCCATGCCATTTTTGCATTGAAGATCATTTTGAGATGGAGGGAGTAAAAGATAAGCTAGTTTAAAATAGTTTAGAAAAAACGAGGTTTAAAATAGAACTACATACAACAACTCCTTAGCTTATTTGAAAAGGTATTCCATGGAGCTTATTAATTGAGCAGAAGCTTATAAAACAAGTTACCTCAACAAAAGAAAGCATATTTGAAAAGCTTTCTTTTAAAAGCTAACATCAAGCTTATATTGTGCCATTAATAGTCTAAATATATGAATTTGCATGGACAAAGTGAGAGCAAGATAAATGTATACCCAAAATGTAACGTGTAACATCAATGTAGTGAATTTCCCATCCAAAAAGCATTTGCAGGCGTTGGATTCTTCTCCTCTGTGTACAAAAACATCATCAACCACAGATGATTAAATTGGACCTGCGGTCCCAAAATTTTCAAAAGACAAATCTAACTTTTTTTGCTAGTTTACTAGCAGTAAGTTCGATTTTCCTTACTTGGCGGCGAACTAGCCTTCTGGTGTTCAATTTCACTCTGTCAATAGCTTCAGTCAAAAGAACTTTTCCCTTGTCATCACCAGGGCCATATCGAATATTGTGTACAGTTTGTTTAAAAGTATTGATACTCCACAATTGAGAGAGGGATGCATCACTAGAATTTTTATGTGCATACAAGCAGTGTGTCAAAAAATCATTAAATTCCCGAACACCAATAGCTTGTCGAAAGCCTTTTGTGTAGTCTGCATCTGTCCGGTAAATGTCAAAAACTTCATCAAGCAGACCAGATTCAATCATGTGATCAACCCTTTTATCAACAAAAAGGTCCAATGCCGATAGAGATGCATCCACGCATATAAAACAGATGTTAAATCTTGAATTATCAACCTGACCCCAGTTCTGTCCTGCCAGGTGCAAGATGTAACACCATGAGCATGATATAAAATCTCAAATCATTTCATTCTATTCATACCAGTTAGTATGATAATGTCAAAAATTATAATGAGTTCTGAAAGCTTATTTATTTGACGAAGCCTTTGTTTGGCTTAAGAAAGAAATAAAGAAGAGAGAAATGGGTGAGATAGAGCTGGAGAAAAAAAAAGAAAGAATTGATAAAAATGAATAGAAATTGATGGAAATCAAAAAGAAATGAATTTCTATCCTTTTTCTCTCTGAAGAAAAAGAAACTTAAAACAATGATATGGCATTTCATCTCAACTTCATTCCTTTCCATTTGCCTCCTACCCAAACCAGAGACTGCATTTCTCTCTGCCTAGCTTCTTCCCTTCCTATTTATCCCAACCAAACAAAGACTAGAAGAACAAAGTTCAGCTGTAAAAAAATTACTAGACGAACTCCTTAAGTTTTAACTTAAAAATTAGCATCGAATAACTGGAAGGATTGATTCAGCCAAACTGAATACTCCGTGGATACAGTGCCAAAGCTTTCAAGCAATATAACGCCATATGGACAAGTGCCAGAAACAGCAATTTTTTTGCTTGAATTCAACTGCTGCTTTTAATCCGTAAAAAAATTATGATTAGAAAAAACAACTGAACATGCCTTTGCTGTCTTTTCTCGTAGAACTTTACTTGGAGGGACACCAAATCGTGCATACAAGTTAAGGTATTGATGGACCTACAAAACAAAAAGTTGCAAGTAGTATAGAACTAGTGAAAAGTGCAAGCATATTGCATTGGAAAAATGGAAAGTGGAAACGTGTAAATCCAATGCCTTTGCTTTTCACATTTTAAAGAACAGCTTTTCATACAATGGAAAAATGGATGACATCATGTAGTGGATCAAAGTAAAGCTAAAAGGTAAGTTCAAATTAAGGAGAGAAAACCATTAGGAGCACTGTAGCTCCTTGCATCCTGATGATCCATGCTCACTATCTAACCCTTATGCTCACTAGTCTACCACGGTCTTCCTCTATGTCCATGCTCACTGAGCATGTGCTCACTATATGTAGTATGTACTCACTACATGTACTAAGGAGGTGCTCCTAATAAGACACTAAATACTTCAAAACTATTGAGGCTGAAATTTATCAATGAGTGATGGACAGCCTAAGATAAAGCCCAAAATTTGAGTATACACCAAATATTTAGGAAATGACAAGGCTTCATTTAACCAATATAAAAAAATTGCATTGTGCAGTTGTGGTAGAAGTTTGGTTGGATTGCACATTATGTAAGCCTCAGCATAAGCCTTACTTTGAGATGCAAATTTGTACGGAGTATACAATAATTACAAATTATATTACAAAGTTGTACAATTAAAATAATAGAGTATTCATTAAGCTTGAACAAAATTTGTGCTCAAATCCAACAAGATCATAAACCTTCACAGCAATAAATTCAAGCATAACATAATATCAACTGTTGTGTAATTGAAAAGAAGTTTAAAGTGCATTAGATTACAACAACAAACACAAAATAATCCCAACTTTGTCGGGGTTTGGAGTGCCAAGATGTAAGCACTATAGAAAACAGGGAGGCTGTTTTACCAACCAAACTTCATAGAAAGTAAGAAACAAGGGAAGCTTATTAACCATAAATGGCGTAGCTCAAATGGTGTAAGCCTTCTTATTGCTGGTTTCCTTTATCCTAAGGGCACATTTTGCCTAAAATTTGATGAGGTGCACCTCATTGCGCAAAGGCATTGCACAATTTTAGACTTTGCATTTAACTTAAATACACAAATTGAAAAGCAAAAGGACTACATCAAGGCAACAGAACGAATTGGCTTAAGCCACATTCCTAACACCACTATTACATGCACACGCCAAATACCACTCTAAATAAGCCTAAAGACATTTTGATTGATGGATCATATAAAAAGAAATTTCTCTTTCAAATTGAGTTTAGCATCAAAGTTACAAAAAAATGTGATTTGGAATCACCTTCCTACTATCATTTGGATGAATTCGACAGCCAACAATGGGATCAATTGCTTTAAGATAATCATAATTATAACAAATATTCTCTCGCTCAATTTCGAGTCCAAGATTGAGTTTCTCATTATCTGCAATAAGAGAAAGATACACATTCAAATTTAACAAGCCATGAACAAAGTTTCATACTGATCAAGATGGATAGTTGGTAAAGATTCTCAAGCAACAAGTCTTTTACCAATCGTATCCAGTGAACAATTGACTTCTATATCTTCAGCGGCTACATCCAAAAGGAATGGACTAACAAGTGCCTGGTAGTAAGTGAGTAGTGTAGAATATGGAATAATTATTAGAATGACTTAGTAGGCAATTGACAAAATACAACATGACACTACCAAAATTTATGTTTTTAACTATTTTAGAACTCTCTCGTCCGCCATAGATCTTCCCAAACACTATTCATAGGGTCAAACTTAACTCACTTTATTTACCTATTTTTATAAAATAATATAGTCTTATCATCTCTAGTTTTGTAAAACATTTCATGTACCTTTTTACTATATAAATTTTATTTTTAAATTTAATCCTTACCATCAAAAAAATGAATTGAAAGTAGAGTCGATCAAGCCTCGTAACGCGTAATGAGAAGATCTTTGATGGATGGAGGGAGTATATATTATCTTAATGTGCGTGTGGGAGGGCTAAAGTTAGACCAATTCTTACACTGGTTATATCTTTCAGCTGGATTGGTTTTAAGCAAAACCCTTCGTAGGATTGAAAGTTACTTTAATTATTAATAGAACAAAGTCAACGTAATAAAATGTATGAAAATGTGGGAACTGATTGGCATGATTCAGTTTAAAATGATAATGCATTGTGGTACAATATATGAAGATTATGTATGCATTAGTAAATCCTACAATGGTGCTTTGGGTGAAAAACGAGAATTGATACGGTGCATGAGATTTCACATCTAAGGACTTAAGGAGTGTGATGAACTAAAATTTTAAGAATATATTTAAATATTGGGGTGGCATATTTGAAAATAAACTAAAATTTTCACCCACCTCTCCAAGATCAAGAGAGAATGGATAAAAATGGATCTAAACAACAACAAACCAAAGTCATAGGGCTGTCGAAGGATAACTAAAAATCTTATTACCGTCTGCATCCGTATCCGTTTAAACGGGAATAATCCACATCCGTTTTAAACGAATATTACCCGTATGGTGTATCCCGTTATGGACATCCAATTACTAAACGGATACGGATTTAGCAATTGTATATACCATCCTTTTAAAATCCAATTCAGATATACATCCGTATAACCATTTATCTGAATATCCGTTTATTCGAGTTCCAATTAAAATTATTTTAATAAATATAATCTTCTAACCAGCCCATTATACATTTATACTTGGCCTACATATCCAAAAATATATCATGCCCTCTAAGTCTCTAACCTTAGTGTCTTACCATTTCTTCTATAAAGTACTTGTTCAATTATGAATTTATATTTTTTTTCGAATCATTTGTTTTGGTTAAGTATTTACTATTTAGACAGCTGTTTTTTACGTATTTGACGTTGTTCAGTATTGTGGATTTCGATATTCACTTTCACTTTCCTTCTATAATCATTTGAATTTTTTATTAACAATTTCGGATAATCGGGAATATTTTGAAAATCGGATCGGACGTCGAACTGAACTAGCAAGTGGGTCAAGGGTCAACCAGTCGAACCGACTGGTTGACTCAGGTCAACGTCCCATAGCTGGGTATAAAATATTCATACTTATGTTTAAATAGAAAAACTTTTGCCAAGTTTTTTGAACTACTTTTAAATATAATAAAATATTATCACATAACATAAGTATGCCTATAATTATAAATAATACAAAGTTTATTTAAAGAAAAAATATAAGGCATTACACTTAGATGTAAATTATTTGGTTAAAAAAATTAGAACAAGGCATATATTAAGAAACAAATATATATTATGTACTACTTAAAAATACCAAGCGTTTGATTTAGCATAGATGGCTTATGGCTATAACCTTGAATTTTAAGGTTTGAGGTGTTGGGTTCGAATCCCTCTACCCCCATTTTACATTTTTGTTTCCTTTGAACACATTCATATTCGGCCGGATTCAAATATTTGGTCGGTTTTGGATGTGTAATTGGATTCAGATATATCTGAAATCGGAATTATCCTTCGGTTACGGATTCGGATATAGAAATGTAAATATCTGTGAGATACAGATACGTGTTCGGATTTCTCAAAACTCAATCGGATTCGGACTCAGATATGCCATATTCGCCGCAGATATTATCCGTTTACCACTTTACCGCCCTAGTCCCACAGAGGCATGGCTAAGGATGGGTGTGTGTGAGTTTGCCAACTCTGCCTACACTTGAATGTTGAGAGATTGTTTCCAAGAGACGCCCGGCTCAAAAATAGAAGCACAAACATAATAAAGTAAAAGAGTAAACAAAGTATCACACATATAGATACTAGCAACGAGACCCATAAGTATCATTAAAAAATGTTCAGAGTTTTCATATGAAGATGTGATATATCGGAACCACACAATACACACAATGTTGAGTTTGCCAACTCTGCCTACACTTGAATGTTGAGAGATTGTTTCCAAGAGACGCCCGGCTCAAAAATAGAAGCACAAACATAATAAAGTAAAAGAGTAAACATAGTATCACACATATAGATACTAGCAACGAGACCCATAAGTATCATTAAAAAATGTTCAGAGTTTTCATATGAAGATGTGATATAATCGGAACCACACAATGCATGCATGCATGCATGCATGCATGCATACATACATACATACGTACGTATGTACATACATACATACATACATACATACATGCATGCATGCATGCATGCATGTGTGCATATCTCTATAAGTGTGGAACGCAAAAATGTAAAAGACATAGGGGTCACATAAGCAAAAGTTTCTCCATTCTCATATCCTAGATGATATAAACACAAGTACAATATTCATAGACAATTGACTTTATGAACTACGAAGTACAATTTTAAGGAAAGGCAACACCGACCTGTATATAGTAATTTGTTCCACCAACAATGACAGGCAAGAACTTGCGAGATGATATTTCATCAATGAGCTGGAAATCCAAAATACAAATGTGTTGGCATATCATACAAAAAGACCTCAAGAGATCATTAATCACAATTCTCTAAAGTAAAATCATCTCTAATAGGGAAAGCAAACAAAGTGAGGTTGCAGCTTCACACACGTCACGAACTAATAAATAACATGAGCAAGTGGCTTGTAAGAGGATAGTAGATTAGTAGAGAGTAAATTTCCAAAAGGGTCCTTTGTAATAAGGTATTTTCCCTATTCAGTTCTTAATGAGCAAGTGGCTTGTAAGAGGATAGTAGATTAGTAGAGAGTAAATTTCCAAAAGGGTCCTTTGTAATAAGGTATTTTCCCTATTCAGTTCTTAATAAGTTATAATTACCTACATGGTCCTTTATAAATGAGATTTCTTTCTCGAGTAGTCTTTCGTAAATAATGTTACTCAAATGATGATTAACTAAAAGGTATTGTGGTATTTCTATCATCTAAATTTAAAGTATATTTTCGAATTGGTAAATTCTATACAATTAAATTTAATATTAAAAAAATTCATTGACTATACATAACCTATGAATTACTAAAAGCCTTAAAAAACATTCAAAATTCGAATAAAATACATATCTTTAATTAGAAAAAAAACATTTTGGGAAAGCACTTCATTGGAAAAGATCATTTTAAGAACTCATTCTAAATTTAGATGATAAAAAATACCAAAATATCCCCCCAATTAATCATCATTTGAGTAAAATTATTTACGAAGGACTATCTCGGGAATAAAGTTCAATTATAAAGGACCACATAGGTAGTTAAAAAATATTGAGAACTAATTTGGGAAAACATCTTAATACAAAAGACTATTTTGGGATTTTACTCATTAATAGACGAGAATTTGCTAGAGTGCCAGACATATTTCCTCTAGCAAACTAATGGTTGTTATGTCAAAAAACAAATAATGGCTTATAATGTAAAATGAAGCATTTTGATACGTGGTTAATAGCTAGCAAACAGTGTATTAAGTTGTCAGCTCACAAACCACTTCTTAAAAAATAACTTGCACCTAAAGCCCTCTATTTGTAAAAACAATAAAAAACATTTATGGAAACATCAGCCTCTATTGGTTAAAACAATAAAAACATTAAATGGAACCATCAGTAAGTGTTCTCTCTTGAGGCTATTGGAGCATGTTTTTTCATCCATAGTTGTCAAGGTGTCACCTAGGCGTCCTGACACCCTTCTACTCTCGCCATGGGAGCTCGCCTTCGCCTTATTTTGCATACCTCGCCTTGGATCGCCTAATTCAGTGCTTTATAGTTCTTTATTTATTTATATTTTCTTTACTCCAGTGCTTTATTTTTTTAAGTAATTTATTTCCCGACTCCAGTGCTTTATTTTTTTAATGCTTTATAAATTAGTTTATTTTCAATTTAATGTTTTTTTCTACTTTATCTTCATAATTAATACCTAGTGCTTAACTTTTTCAAATGTTAAATGATTAAGTCGGTAAAGCTTTTTTTCAACATTGGTTTTTTTTTAAGAAAGTACCTAAAAGTAACTTTGGTTGTTAAACTTTGTTGTATTAGATAAATTTAAACTTTATCAACTACAATACATAATGTGATATATTTTTATTAGTGTTTTTAGTGTATAGATATTCTCCTATATTAGCCTAATTGTTGCCTAGTCGACTAGGCGTCCTGGCGATACCCCAGCGCCACACCTCAACTTGGCTTGGTGACAACTATGTTTTCATCACTATGTAAATTGCATAATTGGCTAACAGCTCAAGCTCAACCCCAAATCAACCAGATCAGCTATATGAACCAATAGAAAATTTCCTGAGGCCATCCACCATAGTAGTGGGGAAAATAAAAGAAAATAAAAACATCAAACTTTTAATTGCATAATAAGAATTCATACAAAACAAAATATGAATTTTGAATCAAAACTTAAAGTAGTCACATGTATTGGCAAACTTCACATACAATCACTTACTGGAATAGCATGGTCCCGAAAATCCCTTGCTGTAAATTCTACATTTGAGCTTAGAGTACCAACCAGATGATGTGCCACACCTATCCCCCAGCAAGCAAGATAAAAAACAAAAACATCAAAATGTACAGATCAGGTATCTCAAGCACATAGAACTACACAAGCATGGAGATGAAGTAAGTATAAGTTTGTAAAAATGAGAAGACTTGTAAGAAGAATATTCCTCCCTTTTAAGTAGAATTATATGTTTTTCAAATACATACAATTATGCTAAAAACTAACAAAAAGTTATCAAACAGGTGATACATTCCCCCATTTTTTCCACAATATGTGGTCATACGACACCAATCCGTAGGCATCATCATATGTTTTATTCCACTTGCATGTAGCATGTTCCAATGAGTTGATGTCACATTACAAGGTTGAAATATCATTTATCATAAAATAGAAATGAAGAAATAAGAAATTTCAAGCATCTTCTGCGGAAAACATGAGGAAGGGAACAAGGAAGCACCTTTCTGCTCTTCGGGGCGAACTTTATTGGTCAGAACATCTAATCCTCTATAAACCTATAGATTCATGAAGGAGCATTCTTTAAGCATGAAACTATATCTGCTAATAATGGCCCTCCTTTATATACAAACAATCGCAAACCTGCATGGAATCAGCATTAATGGCTTCAATCGGGAAGTGGGACGCAAGGTCGATTGCGAGTTTGGATTTTCCGGCCCCTGTTGCGCCCATTATCACTATCACCTTAGGCTTCGAATTTGAAATTGGAATGTGACTCCAGTTCGGACTTGTGTCGTCTTCTTTGGAACACATATTAGGGATCCGGGTCATAGTCGCGGTCGGAATTTCGGGTTGAATTTCCATTGTTAGGGTTTTGCTCCACCACTTCGTTACGATTTTGAATCTTCGGAATTTCAAAGTAGTCGTCCGGACTCTGTATGTTTGAAGTTTAATAACAGGTGGGTACCAAGTTTCCAACAAAGGTTGTACCCAAGTACAATCCCGAAATTATTTGTGATATGAATTTTGTTTTACATGAGAATTTTAAGAATGAGTATTGTTTTGTTTCAGAATGAACACTACATTACTTGTAGATGAATATTATAATTATATTGAACCAATGTGTGAAAATGAGTGTTGCATTATTTTAGAATGAGTACTACGCTAATTATATTTGTGCGAGAATGAGTACTATTCTACTTCAGAATGAGTACTAGCACGGATGTACCTATCTCTCGGTACATCCGGTTGTACTATATACCTTCTCCAACAACGCTAGCATTTAAAGTTGCCTGTTAGGGCAAATTATATTATACAACAGGTTGTACTCAAAATTGCGTAGATCTGCTAAAACGAAAGAGAAAGAAGAGTTGCGTCAACGAAATCAAAGGGGTGATGGAGGACGACGAAAATCGAAGGAAGAAAGATGATCGAGGAGAGGCGCGGGGCTAAAAAACAATTGTGTGGTCGAGTCGGGTCGGGATAGGAGAGAAAGAAGTTATTTATGATATGAATTTTATTTTGTTTGAGTATGAACACTAAGTTATTTGTTATTTGAGAATGATAACAACTTTGTTTCTGAATAAATACTACATTATTCATAAATGAATATTATAATTATATTGAATAAATGTATGAAAAATCTTTTGATTGAACTCTCCAACCGCTGTGTGCGCATATATGAAGCTGGGAGGAGGGGATGGTCTGTCCTTGTTATCTGTTGTGTAATGACCCTAGTCTAGCCTCTTTGTAGTACGGGGGTTGTTATCCCTTATTTTGTTTACCAGAATATACTTGGATTGAGGTGTTAATATATTTTGCATTTTGTTAAAAAAAAATGAATACTACACTATTTCAAAATTAACATTTACATTTGTGCGAGAATGATATTTCAGAATGGGTACTATCCTGATGTACATATCTCTAAGTACAACTAACTGTATCATATACCTTCTCACGTTTTACTGGTATTTAATCTATTATTTTCTTTTTATTACACCGAATTTATTTTTATTATGATCAAACCAGATCATGTCTAATCAAACTGGTTTCTATCTAATCAGATCAATATAGAAAATTGATTTAAAAAAATTGTGTCTATTTACAAGGTTAAACTTTATTTATTTATTTTCTTTATTTTCGTTACTCACTTGATAGAATTGTAAAATTATATCATGTCTTGTTTCGTATAACTTTTGATATAATTTTTAAATTGTAAAACTTGTTTTTTTAATTATACCATATTTTTCAAATAAAGTATATTTAAAATAGTTTTAGTCAAATATCGTAAATTAAAACATGTGATTTAAATTTAGACGTAAGAAGTAATGATTACTATTAAAATTTTGTGTTCTGTATATAATTAAATAATAACAATAGTGCTACATATGATTAAATAATACTTTCTTCGTCTCATTATTTTTTGGACATATAAGAGTAGCACAAAATTTATGAAAAGTAAAATTGTATAATTAATATTGATATTGAGAATTAAGATAAACTAAGAATATTTGTGAATCACATAAATATGACTAAATATGAAATGAAAAAAATAACAAGATATACAAAAAGGCAAAATGGGACAAAAAAAGTGTGATGGATGGAGTACTTGCTATTATTATTGTTGTTGTTCTTATAGTTATTTTAGCAATAATAATAACAACAACAACAAGAACAACAACAACAACAACAACAATAATAATAATAATGTCTCTCCGTCCTATGAAGGCTTTGTTTGGTAACAGTGTTTTCGATTAGCGTTAGCGTTTTGGATAAAATTTTAATGCTGCAAATTGATTCTGAAAACGCTAAAGGCTATCGTCGGATAGCTTTTTTCAAAACGATAACGCTAATCTAAAACGCTGATGCCAAACGGGGCCGAAAAGATGTTAACTGTGTCTTCACGTAGATTAAAAATGTAGAAATGTTTGTAGAAAGAATATTTTCATTGATGATTTGTGGTGATTACATGTGAATATATACTAGGAGTCTCAATCATAATTATGGTAGGAGAGACATAGTAGGAAGGTGGTACAATTATGGTAACAATATAATACAATAATATTAAATATAAATGATATATTTAACAATGTTATTGAAAAGATGTTAAAATTAAAAAGTAATGAGTTAATTTATTTTAAAGGGAGCAAATTGTTTTAGAATACATATACAATTCTAAAATAGAGAAAGATAAATAGTGAAATATTTGGGACATCTACAAATACAATATTATGCTAGCACGATTTCTAACATAATAATCATGACACATACAATTCTAACACAGTTAGCACAAATTATATACTCCATCCGTTTGGAAAAACCCTTCTCATTTGATTTGGGGGCAAAAATAAGGAAATGATAAATTATAGTTGATTTCCAATTTTGCCCCTGATGTGATGGATAAAAGTAAGATGTGATGGATAGATTATTAGAGAAAAAGTATGATGTGATAGGTAGGGTATGAAAAAGTAAGGGTAAAAGTGGTTTTTTAATAGAAAGGGGAAGTGTTTTGTTGGAAGTGGAAAAAATTAAAGAGGAAGTGTTTTTTAGAACGGAGGGAATAAATGTTAGTATCTTTTTTTGTAACATAACATCCCTATTTTCTACGGTGGGGTTCTAGTGACCCCGGAGTACGGTGTCATTCCGGTGCCACTGTCATTTTAGTGCACTTCCGATACTCTGTTCGTAAAATTGTCTGTTTCTACCCTCCTAACCCATCCCCTAAAACCCCCACCCAACTCTGCCCCCGCACCCCCGATTGCATAATAACCACACATTTTGTGGGGGGCTTACGGCGGGGTTGGGATGGGGGTGCAGGGGAAGGGTAGGTTGGGGGGTTTAGGGGTGGATTAGGGGGGTAAGAATTGTCAATTTTACGAACGGAACACCGAAAAGTGCCCTAAAATGACATTGGAGTGTCACCGTACTCCGCTGTCACTAGAACCCCACCAAATAATTTTATAATTTGAATCAAATTAAATTAGATTCACTTAGATCAAATCTAATTAGATTAGGTCACATCAAATCAAATCTGATTAGACTTTTTAGAAATAAGATTAGATAGAAAGTGTGACCATAAAACACCGTCTCATCTCTTTAACAATCTAAAAGCTTGTTGGGTGACTTTTGAAGATATGATATAAAATAGATTTTGAAATAAGATTAGATAAAAAGTGTGACCATAAAGCATCATATTATCTTTTTAACAATCTAAAGGTCTGTTCGTTGACTTTTGAAAATATGATATAAATATATTTTGAAATCCGAAATAAATTATATGAGTTTCGAGATCTGAAATGAAATTGTTTGAAGATGTCTAAAATCACGATTTATTTTGTGATTGGAGAGGGTCGCTAGCAACTGGGTGTTGCCTATGGCAATGGGAGTAGCCTAGTAGGTGACTAGGGATGTTGATGGTTAAGGAAAAATGAAGTGGGTGTTTTTTTTGAACTTATAAGTTGATCAAAATGCAGATAAGTACTTTTTAACTTATAAGTTATTTGATGACATGTTTTTGTGTGCTTATAAACTAGCTTATAAAGTGTCTGAAAAAAAGTAAACCTTAACTACTTAGTTTTAAGTTACTGTTTTTATTGTTTCATTTTGATCAGATTATTTACAACTTTGTCCCTCATCATTTATGAATATTTTCAAATGACTTATTTATCATTTTAGTCAACGAAAGAGTATTTGATTTATAAAATTGGTTTCCCACGTAATATTATTTTACAAAGTAGTACTCCCCCGTCCTAAAAGAATATTCTTAGTTTGATTTACGAGGTTTGACTGAAATTATTTTTAATTTAATTTATTTGATTACAAGTGTAAAATAAAAAACTTATATATTTTAAGATTATATTTAAAGTTCTACAAAAAATGACATTACTATATTATTTTATAGAATAATTACAAAAATAGGTAAAGAAGACTATTAAAATTTGACTATCATTAGGAAGAGCCAAGAGGGAGTATTATTATTATTCCAAAGTCCAAACTTAACACCATGTTTTATTTCCTCCTCACCTTCAAAGCAACTCCAAGCCGGCGACGGCGCTTATGCACTACCGACGACTAGAGGCGACACCTCTGAATCATCACCTCGGCTACGGCGAGAGAGCTCTCCTCTGGAGGAATAAAGGTATGATACGAGCTCCCAACCTTAATTCAATTTCAATTTTGTAATTTTAGAAAGGTGAAACTCGCAACTCAATACCGCCTTCATTTCAATTGAAACACCTCCATCGTCCACTGTTTTTGTTTCAATTTCATTTCAATTTTAATGCTTGTTTGGTACTAGTAATTGCTTTCACGGTTTTGGCTCAACCACTGCATCGACCCCGGGAGAGTTCTCCTCTGTCGGATTCAATTCCAGTTTTTGTTCAAATCGAATTACAGAGCGGTTTTTTCTATCGATTTACTGTCCTACATCCCTCTTTTTGCAGTGCGTTTGTTTCATTTCAATGTTCTTTTTCCTGATTCTTTTCTTCTTTTTTTCAAGTGCACTTTTAATTTTTTTCATATTTATTTTCTGGAAACGTGAAGGGCGCAGTTCCATTGTTCTGAATCCGTTTAGGCTCCGTTTGGTACACGGAATTCAAGCCGTGGAATTGGAATTGGGGACTTCAATTCCAATTTTGGTGTTTGGTAGCACAAATATATGTGAATTTGGAATTGGTAGTGCAAAAAATGAATTGGAATTGGAGAACTCAATTCCATAGAATTCAATTCCATAGAATTTCAATTCCAATTCAATTCCAATTATGTCAATTCTATGTACCAAACGGACCCTCAATTCATCTTTAGTTAACAATTTTTTGATCATTTATTACCTGGAAAATGATTTTCAGATTCATTTTGTTTTACTCCCCTATACACTCTTCTTATTATTTGTCTTTGGGTGAGTATCAAATTACTCTGGAAGCACATTCAATGACATACCAACTGTTATGAATAGAATGAAATGATATGAGATTCTATATCATGCTCATGGTGTTATATCTTGCACCTGGCAGGACAGAACTGGGGTCATGTTGATAAAGATTTAACATCTATTTCATATGTGTGGATGCATCTCTATCAGCATTGGACCTTTTTGTTGATAAAAGAGTTGATCACATGATTGAATCTGGTCTGCTTGAAGAAGTTTTTGACATTTACCAGACAGATGCAGACTACACAAAAGTCTTTCGACAAGCTTTTGGTGTTCGGGAATTTAATGATTTTTTGACACAGTACTGCTTTTATGCACATAAAAATTCTAGTGATGCATCAGGACTTAGTTCGCGGCCAACTCACCAAGTAAGGAAAATCAAACTTACTGCTAGTAAACTAGGAAAGAGTTAGTTTTTCTCTTTTGAAAATTTTGGGACTGCATGTGGAATTTAATCTTCCTTTTACTGTACACAGAGAAGAACAAGAATCCAATGCATGCAAATGTTTTTTTGGATGGGAGATTCATTATATTGATGCTACACGTTACATTCTGGGTATACATTTGTAATTTCAATCACCTCTTGCTCTCATTTCGTCCATCCAAATTCATGCATTTAGGCTATTATTGGCACAATATAAGCTTGATGTTGGCTTTTAAAAGAAAGCTCTTCAAATATGCTTTGTTTTGTTGAGGTAACTAATTTTATAGGCTGGAGCTTATTTAATAAGCTCCATGGAATACCTTTTCAAATAAGCTAATGAGTTATTGTATGTAGTTCCATTTTAAACCTCATTTTTACTTCTAAAAGTATTGTACACACATTTACGGAGTATACTTTAAACTAGCTTACCTCCTACTCCCTCCGTCAGAAAATGAACTTCCCATGATAAGGTATAAAGTATAACTAATGTGGGTAGTTGAGGGGTAAAGTGTCCTTTCATTGATGGGAAGTGGGGAGATAAAAATTTGGACACACTCGTTTTTACCAAACAATCTATGAGATTAGCTAGGCTATAAGGCATAGGCCGTAAGTTAAAAGTTTTCGAATCACTTATCGCCTACTTGTCATCGTATTTTGCCAAACAGAGACTTAGTAGTTTTTTTGAGATATTGTGATTTTTAAAAATTTAATATCTCAATTCAAAATTCAAATGAAGCGGTCTTCTTTGTAGCGGCTTCTAATGAGATTTGGGCAACAAAAGTGATTGAGCCAGCCGTCACAAAAATAAAATCTTTTCTCCATGGAGAGTTGTGTTTGGAGAGCACTAGAACTTATACCAAAGACATAAAAATAAACAAAACGGATCAATGGAGTCAATTTGTATATCTAGAACTTATTATTGATAGTACATTTCCCCATGCTTATCATTGATAGCACATTTCATGTGCAACTGCTTCTCCTATTAATGTAATGTTTAAACTGAGGAGATCCAAATAAAAGGCGTTCAAATGACCTAACAGCTACTTTGTTGAATGAAATCAATAGAAGTAGAGCAATCAGGCGGCGGATACGTAACTAGTGCTGGAGGAGACTAAGTTGGCTATCTTTTTAGGCGGGGCTGAGATGACAATTGGACTTGTGACCACGTGGTTGCCATCGCTCCATTTGTACCAGCCAAATTCATTAGTAGACACATTGCTTTTCTTGGTGTTTTCAGCCTTAACACTTATGCTGAAACTCTGTTTTTCTCCAACTCCTTTGAATGTCAGGATTGGTGGAGTAATGTTGACGGAGTAACCAGTTGGGGCTTTCACTTCCAGCTTATAAGTAGCCTTGGGTGAGCCCACATTTGTAACTGTTCTTTTCACCATCACAGAACCTTTGAGGTTGGCTATTGCGAGCGACGGATAGTTGAGATCACTTACGGATAGAGGATTCTTGGGGCATTTGAAAGAGCGGTCTAGTGAAGTGCCATTAACAGTGCAAATAAAGCTAAGATAATCTGTGTATGCTGCGTCGTACACAAGCCCAGGATCGGCTGCTTTGGATGGTCGCATATGGCCTCCTCCATAATGGAATGGAGTTGCCAAGTCTCCATATGCATCCTCTATTGGTCCCCCTCGAAGATTCTCAGTTGTAGCTGAAAAAGGTACGGTAGACAATAATATTGAGATATTTTAGTTTATTCAGCTAGGTATCGTGGCCACTCTCTTTGAGTGGCCACGGAGGACACTGTCCCAATTGGGACACCTATGGCGGTCCGTTCATAAAATTGATAGTTCATATACCCCCTAATCCCCCGATAAACCCCCCATCCAGTTCTTGCCTCAACCCATCCCCCCACCCACGTCAATTGCACCCTGCAAGTTTAGTTGACTTTGGGGTCAAACTTTTACGAACAGAGCACCGTATGTGTCAAGTGTCCTTTGTGGCTACTCAAAGATAGAACCGGCCCGTAGTTTATTATCTAACATGTAATTTTATGTATTCTACTTTATCTTATGCAATGTGACATCGATCTGATCTCACATATATTTATATACCTGTGGTCATGAGAGCAGATTTAATTGCAGCAGCGCTCCACTGGGGATGTATGGCTTTAAGAAGGGCAACGGCACCAGAGACGTGAGGGCATGACATTGAGGTTCCAGATATGATGTTATACTTCACTCTGCGAGGATCTTCAGGTAACTCTGTTGGCGATGTAGCCTCACTCCATGCTGCTAGAATGTTTAGTCCTGGTGCTGTGATGTCAGGCTGCAACATATGCACCACAAAATATATAACAACAAATCACATAGGGTATCGGTGCAATGAACTTTTTATCAAATCCAAATAAAATAGCTTATATAATGACAAATAATGTCAAAAAAACTTTATTATATTACGGAGTAAATGTCAACACACAATATATACCTTGAGGATGTTAGGCTCAACATTACTTGGGCCTAATGAGGAAAAGTAAGCCATTGTCGGGGAAGGTTTAGTGCCAAATTCAGTGGTTCCAGGGATCAGCTTCACAACGGGTTTCTTGTCGGTCTTGATGTATTTGAGAATGACATCTGTCGTGTTTGGATAATAGACGGTTGTTGCTGGAAGCAACATGGTGCCAAGAAGTGGTTGGGCCACCGGAAACCCTAGCACGGCGGCGGCACCACCAGCTCTTTTCACTTCTAAGGACTGATCGGTGTATCCCTTGAGGCAAAACACTGCTTTCCCTTTCACCTTCTCTGGTGTAAGTGTGTTGGGCATGCAAAACCTGTATCCCTCCAATACCATTTAATGCCGGGTATGTACTCCTTTCTTGTTTTGAGTTAATTGTCTCATTTTCTTTTTTTTTTTTTAATTTATTTTAAGAACATTGTCATGTTTCTTTACTCTTCTAATAATATAAAAATATGTGGTCCATAAATTTTTCCAAACAAATTTCAACGACAGACTTTTTACTTTTTACTTTTCAATACTTTTATTAAATTCTGTGAGGTCAAACAATGCCAAGTTGACAATTAAATGGGTACAGAGAGAGAGAATATTATTACTCTTATTTCGATAAGAAACGAAAATGTTTTCCAACAACCTATGTATTTAACTTTACCATTTTGAAAATGTTATATAATGGTAGTGTTTAGTTTTAATATTTGTACAAAATTAATGTGTATCATTAAAAATCCTTCAAAACAATGTGTATCACCAAAAAATAATACTCCGTATAAAATACTAATTAAACCCTCTTTTCAAACAAGGCCTAACTCACCCTGAAAGACTGGAATTGGTTGAACCGGGAATCTCTACATCTCCTGCATAGACCAGCGGCAGTGCCGTGTTTCCTAATTTCCCGACGGGAGTTATGCTTTCCCCCTGCCGTTGTTCAAAACAAAACAACTTTTGATGTCATATTGTATGCTATTCATTGCATAACAACCCATTATAACAACGTAACTCACCCTGTATGTGATTATCATATGAATTTAATATCAATATATTCATTTTGAAATGCTGTTTAAAAATTGTCAAAGAACTAACTCAACCAAAAGCTTGAGCTTTTGGTTGTGCCCTAAGAAAGGTTTGTATATATACTCTAACACATTCCCTCATGTGCAGACGTGACTTCTTTGAGCCTTGCATGTGAAACCTTAACTTTTTTTTTTTAAATTAGGTGTCGGTGAGTTCGAACTCGTGACCACAAAGGTTTGTATATACTCTAACAAAAGTATTACTCCCTCCGTTCCACAAAACTCTTCCTCTTTTGTTTTTTTTGTTTTCCACAAAAACTTTCACTTTCTATTAAAAAACCACTTTTACCCCTACTTTTTATACCCTACCTATCACATCATATTTTTTCACTAATAACCAAACTATCTTACTTTTTCAATCACATCAGGGGCAAAATTGGAAAGTCAACCAAAATTACACTTTCCTTATTTTTCCCCAAAGTCAAAACCCAAGGGTTTTGTGGAACGGAGGGAGTATATTTTTGATAATATGTATATCAAATTATAAATAGATATATTAATGGGTGAACATGCATGCATGTGGTTATTACCTTGACCGTTACGCCATTTCCGAGTACAAGAGGTGCAGAAAAGAGCCGATCCGTGCTGCTGGCAGCGACGGTCAAGATCCAAGGCGCGACATTCGCCACCGTCTCAGGGTCCGGGCCATCATTGCCGCCGCTGCAGACGACGGCAATGTTCCTCTTCGCGGCGTGCAATGCTCCGATCGCGATCGAGTCCTCCGTGAAGTACCCCTTCTCATTCGCTCCGCCGAGGGACACGCTAATCACGTGGACCCCGTCCCCGATGGCGGCGTCGAATGCCGCCAGAATGTCGTCCTCCAGACAAACACCGCTCGCCACTTCGCCGCCGCTGCTCACGGTCCAACAAGCTTTGTAGACCGCCAGACGCGCCTGCAGTGCCCCGCCGGTGGCGGTGCCGCTGCCGAATCCACCGTAGGCGGATGCTCCGGCAACTCTCTGGCCTAGGATGGTGGATGAGGTGTGAGTTCCATGGCCGTCTATGTCTCTCGGTGAACGGAAGTCTAACGTCTTGTTCAATGCACCAAACTGTGCCTCCACCCCCTTGACGTGATACCTCGCTCCAATTATTTTCCTTTCCAAAATTACCCAAATAAAACAAATGTTATTTTTATGCCCTCTTCGTTTTAAAAAAATGGTGTCTAGTTATTATTTAAAAGTCTAACTAATTATATTTTCATTTATGAATTTTTATTGATATTTTGATAAAATAAAATAACTTGTCACGACTATATAAATTTTTATTTATAATGACTTGAAAATAATTTCGGTCTAATTTTGTAAATTGAACACGAGCCTTATTTGAGAGGAATGAAGCATTATTTAGGTAAGAAATTGTAAAAATGGGACCAGACTAAAGGTCTGTCACGTTCAAGTTATTTTTTTCAACTTATTACTTATAATTATTGTTATTGAAATAAGATTCAATCAGAACTAATCAGATCCAATCAAATCAGATTAGAAATGACTTTAAATATAAAGACAATCATATTAGGGTTTCAAAAAATCAGACGAGAGGAGGGGAATAAATCGATAATTACCTATTGCAGGAGGTAGTATTGAACGCAGCTCCTACTTCGCAAGCCCCTTTCCATGACGCCGGAACCGGTCCCATCCCCTCATCTCTGAAACTAAGGGACTCTGGCCATACCCCTTATAGTTTACAACAAGCAGTGCAATTTCGTTAACTAATTAATTCATAATAGGCCTAATTAGCTAATTCAATCACTACAAAAGAATTAAGTTTTTGTGTCATTATATTTTGCCACAAGTATTTTTTCTAACGAGGTAATTTGTGAGAGATTTTATAATTTGACACAAATACCCCGTTACAAAAAATATTCGTGACAAAATTTGATCCACAAAAACATTATTTTTTTTGTAGTGAATTTGATATCTGATAAAAGAAATATGAAAAGTAGTAGTCAAAATCACCGGTGTCAATGACGCCAACGATGACATCACCTCCCATCCCGGCGGCTCCCTGGAGTAAATTTGGTGTCGTCGATGATTGATGGAGATTTGGGTTTGCTTTGGCTTTTGTTTCGAGAAGATGGACGAAGTCCCATGATCTTGTCGTGTGGAGCTTTAGTGTCTTCACGGGGAACACTGAGATCACGCCCTCCATCCCTGTTTATATGTCATTATCAGCGCTCTTTCCGTCTTAAAATTACCTTCACAGTTTGACTTTCATTATTAAACTTTTTGAACTTTGATTGCATGTTATGGAAAAAACAAATTAAATTTTTATATAAATTTAATTAATATCGATTCATTTCGAAACATAGTTTTGAAATGTTTTATTTCTATAATATATATTTATATATGAGTAAAGATAATAATGGCCAAAGTGTTACGATTTTTAAAGTTAGAGAGAATTTGTGCAAATTTTTAAAGAGTTGGGGGTAAACAGTGCAAAAAAAAAAACTCATAAAAAAGTCTATGAAATAGAGGGTGTGTGTGTTTGCACAAAAATATTTTTTTCTTCTAAACTAATTTCAAGATTCCAAAGCAAAACATTTACTATTATCTTGTTTTGAAAAATAGTTACTCCGTATATCCTAATATTTTGCATATCCCACAAAATACTTTTATCCCACCTAAAAGATACCCTCTTCGTTCGCCAAAATGGTTCTTATTTTAACTAATGAGAGAAACAAAGAGTACATATTTGTAGTTGACTTTCCAATTTTACCAAAATGGTTCTTATTGTAACTAAAGAGTATATATATTACCAGCAATAATGGCGGCTTGGTCCGGGCGGAGGAAAGCGGAGAAGCCATTGATGACATTCTTGTAGCTGTGTACGATGGAAGACTTAACTTCATGTTTGGAGGGCATTATTACTTGGTGCAGATACCAATGGTGCGCCTCTTCTATCTCTCCCTCACTTCTTTTCTCTCCACTGTGCTCTCCCATGTATACCACATACCGCTGCATATATATATGCATGCATGCATGCAACAAATAACGTAACGTAACACATGCAAATTAATTACTGCATTACTCACTAATCGTTTACTTGCGTAAATAAATTAATTAGCTAGGTACATTATTAATTGGAAATCATATATACTCCCTCTCTTCACATAATAATAATAATAATAATAATAATAATAATAATAATAATAATAATAATAATAATAATAATAATAATTCTACCTTCACTTTTCTTCACTCTTCTCATAAACACTTCCATTTGCCATAAAAAAACTTTATTTTATCCTTACTAAGCTACATAATAACTTTTATTCAACCTATCACATCATATCTATATGGAGTACTACTCTGAACTCTTTCCATCCCTAAATCTCATTATTTGGACTTTTATACTCCATTCGTTCTTGAAAATACTTTCTATTTTGACCAAGTGCCTAAAGAAGTGTAAAATTATAGTTGGCTTCCAATTTTGTCCTTGATGTGATGTGTAAAAGTAAGATGTGATAAATATAGATTATTAGAGAAAAAAGTGTGATTTGATAGGTAGGGTAAGAAAAAGTAGGGGTTAAGTAGTTTTTTAGGATAAAGCTACTTATACCCCAACTTTTGTACCCCACTTTGTACCCCGCAAGTTTGCACCGACACTTTATGTTGGTGTAAAACTAATTTTTGTTAATGCACCAACCATTTTGTGTCCGTGTAAATTTTTGTTAACGCACAAACACTTGTGTCGGTGTAAACCATCAAAATGTTTGTGTATAACTGCGGTGTACAAATGGGGTACAATTTGTGGTGTAAGTGTAGCATGACCCAGTTTTTTAATACTACCTTCGTCACTGAGTATTTGTCCAGTTTTGACTTTTTTTGGTCAACTGTTTTCAACCTTTCACTTATAATTAAATAAATTATACATTGTATTTTAATTAAATAAAACAATATTTCGAAAATATTTGATACCACCTCCGTCCCAGAGTATTTGTCCACTTTCATTTTTACACACCATCCAATACACTTCTTTAATCCATTTTATCTTGTAATTTGTATATTAAAAAATTATAGAAATTATATATTAATAATCTATATGTCAAGACAAATCAAATAAGATCACACATGACTATATTTAGACTTACACATTGAGAGAATTTGATGAGTCAAAGTACTTAGATGAACAGTTCCAAAAGTCAAAACTGGACGAATACTCCGGGACGGAGGGAGTATAATAAATCTAATAAAACTTTTTTTGTATCAATATCTAATACGGAGTATCATTTTTATTTAATTTGAGGTCAAAATTTACTAATTTTGACCGAAAAAAGTGAAAAGTAGACAAATACTCAAGGACGGAGGGAGTAGAAAGTGGTGGAAGTGTTTTATTTGATAGAAGAGAAAAAGTGAAAGAGAAATATTTCCCAAACGGAAGAAGTACTATTTTCGTATTATTGTGTACCTGTTGTTGTTGTTGATTGGGATGGGAGGTGGTGAGTGAGAAGTGAAGGAGGAAAAGAAAGGCAATAAATGTGGCGGGTAGTGTAGGAGGAGCCTTCTTCATTATCATTTCCATTTATTCTTATTATGATATATGGATTATATGCTACCATTCTTCAATTCCCTTTAGGAGTATTTATATACGGAGTATATTATATAGAGCCGGCCAGCAAGCTAAGTGCCGTGGATATTTTTCACCCAGCCTCAGCTCCCCAGTAAGCAATAATACAGTATTTTGTTTTCCTAGATACGGAGTAATTATTACTCCATCATATGTATACTGCATTATTCATTTACCCNCTGCGTATGTAGAAGTTAAGGTCACATGCGCATGTTCCATTAAATTTGAATGGGAAGAAGCAGTTTTTTTTACATGCATGCACAACTATTTGATGTGGCAAAGTTTGAAAACGATGAATCCTTTGAAAATATGTTTCTCATTACCACATATATCAACACACACACACACATATATATATATATATATATGTACAGTATTTTTAATCTAGTTTACTTTTCAATATACGTGAATGTACTCTCTCTATATTAGGGCCGGACATGTTATATATACTCTCTCGGTCCCACAAAATATTTTTTATTTTGATTTTTAAGGTATTTAAGATGAGTGTATTTTGGTGACGACTTTCCAAAAAATGCACTTAGATATGATAGTTAAAAGTAGATATGATGAGTAAATTAGTAATGAAAAAGTGTGACGTGATAGGTCGTAGGTTAATAATTAGTAAGGGTAAAAGTGACTTTTTAGTAGGAATGAGGAAAGTTTTTTGGAATGGATAAGAAAAGAAAGGAGAAATGTTTTGTGAATTGGAGAGAGTATATTTCATTGTAATTCGAAAAACAATTTGACTAATGATATCATAATAATCATCAAAGAAGTTTGGTGGTGCAGAGTGCACACTTCGTTGAGTTTGTTATGATAGAAGTTTCGTCTTAACGGGGGTTCTAAGGGGTAGTGCCCCTTGGCGGGGGGTTCGGGGGCAACGTCCTCGAGCAGGGTTCAAGGGGCGGAAGCCCCCGTGGGTCCAAGGGGCAGAGCCCTTAGCTGGGGTTGAGATTTTTTATTTTGGACAAAGTGCTATGTTAAAAATCTATTTGAATTTTTAATTTTCGAATTTCCTTAAAGGAATACTTCAAAAAAGGATAATCACCGTTTTTCTCAAAAATTGCGCAAAGAGACGCGCGTTTTGGTGAGAGACACGACCGCAACCTTCCTCCCTTCCGCAGTTCTACGAATACCGCTGATTCTTGATAAATTTGAGTTTTATCCGATTGATTTTTGATTGAACAACCAAAATAATCAATCTGAAAGTGCTACACGTCTCTCAAATCGATCTGTGTTATCTTCGTTTATCCCCAACAGGAAAGAGACTAGTTTTCAACCTGTTTTGGTTCTAGAACGGGCAGTTCTGATACCGCCGGAGAGAGGTACCACCTCCTGTACCGGTGGTGGAGGTTAACGGTACTAGAACCCACCACCTGGAACCCACCGGTCTGGTTCTTGTACTAGAACCTTGATCTTTGCATTGATAGTTTGTGGGTTAGAATGCATGAATTGATACGATTATAATCAATGTAAGGTTGGATATGGTTAGGAACTGAATTATGAACATATTGGTATATATGGAGTTTTATAGAGTTTGTGTTGAATTGTTGTTGGAATTGTAGCTGGTGCAGATAGGAATCATTGCGTCAGGTGTACCTAAATGCCAAAATCTGCTGGGAGAATTTGTGACTGTTCGATACCTAAGTAGCGAAGAGACGGTACACCCTACCACCGGACGTTAACTGTCTACCACTACAGGCCATCTAGTGCTGGTGGACTCAGTCCCGCCTGGTACTAGGTACTACTTATACGGTACCGGTACCTAGACACCAGACCAGGTACCATTTGGTACCATTGAACTAATCCTATACTTGTTTTTGTGTCGATGATTAATTTCAAGACTTTTTATGTTGCATGACGGTAAGCATTGGTGTTCACACTCGATGCTATACCGATATTTGATCATGTTTGGTTATGTTGGATATGATTATGCCTATTTTATTGTACATGCACTTGTGGATGTAATGTAACATTAAAGTAATATATGAACCTCGGTGAACTCTAAGATTTGACCTGAATAGAATAAGGACAAGTTATGTTATAAGTATGGAAATGTTAGATCCATGTGGTACTTGCTGGGTGCAATGGTTATCCGGGTACAAATGTACGCATGGGGATCAATGAACTGTTATTCTGAAGGGGACATGCATGGATCTCACCCACCTAATGAGGGACTCCCAAGTTGGTTGAGCTTGATCTTTGTTCCGAAGAGGAAGGTCTTGACTCCAATAAGTAAGTCAGATTTAGTATAAGCTTAAACTTAGAATAGGTTATGAGCCAAGTATGTAAGTTAGATGACTAAATTAATGAGAACATGATATGTTGTATTGTTGGTAATGTTTATGGATCGAATTATTATGCTGATATTCGTAATGTACTTGTGTGTATGATATCTTGTGATGTTATAAACTAATGAGGTCATCTATATATATAACTCAATGTTAGATTTTTCCCACTTAGTTTAAATGCTGACTGTGTCGCATTTGTTCTTTTCTTACACGTAGGTAATCAAGATCAAGATGAACCTAGAGTCAATCTCGGAGGACAATGAAGGCTAGAAGATGTGCATGGATGTGTTCGCAGATTTTAATTATTAATTAAAATATGAGTTATTTTTATGGGTTTGATTCCCAAGTTGTTGAGATTTTATTAATGGCTTCTGCAATGTTTTTAATTACTCCAATGAATATTTATGTTTTGAATTAACTGTTTTTCTAAAATGGTTTTGGATTTGAAATGTGTTTGGATACCAATTCAGTAGCAACCTGATTCGCTGGCCCATGTATTCGAGTTATGCGGGTTCGAGTGTTGCACTGTGAGCCAAGTTGAGGTGTGCTATGCGGATGAACTGCTTTACGGCATACACTGTCACTACCAAAAAGGTTGATACTTTGCATGAGATCACAAGGGATGTTGCACTCTCTCCTAGAACTGAGATTCATAGGCAGATGACTAATGGAAGGCAAATGAGATGTAACATGATTGGCAGCCAAGGTAGAATAATAAGGTGTTGTATCTTTGTTTCTATTCTCACCCATTTTGGATGGAGAGGAGAGAGCGTGACTCCAATCAAGATTGGGCATAGAGTTATCGAAAACCTAAACACAAAGTAGCAAATGAGATATCTCATTTTGGGAAAACATCAACTCAATATAGAACCGTAGGTCACCATCATCATTAACAATAATAGGTGTGGGGCAAGGCTAAACAATGTAGGACAAACATGTATCTTTTCGAGGTTCATTGTTGCAAGTGGTAAATTTAAGAAAATCTTCCAAATATGCAGATGAATAACCTATAGGGATCCCAATGTTATACTTCAAAGAGAATCCATAACTACTGTCCCAAACACCATGAGTATAAAACAAAACCAACAACGACATTTTGGTGTGTGCAGTAATTTCTAGAAAAACACAAAGAAACATATTGAGAAGTATTCACTGGTAGTACATGGCAAACAAATGACACAAATACCAAACTGCCACAACAAGGAATTAAATACAGTATCACCTCTAAAGGTAAAAGTAAAATAGGAAAAATAGCTAAATCAGAAGACAACATAGAATAAAATGATCATAAATCCACATTAAAAAGCATAGTTGAAATGAGGGACAACCATATCTTGCAGATGTGGTACAACATATTAACAAAAAAATAATTGCAAGAACAAAAAGAAACATATATACAAAGTTTAAAGCACAATAATGTTTAACAAATGACAATGTTTAACAAAAACCATATAATAACACAACAATGGAGGAAGCAATGAAATATTTCTGTAAACACATTGTCATATGTGAGAATTCGATAAAATCACAATTCAAACACGAAATTAGACAATGAAACTATAACCCTAGAGGCGCGATATGCAAAAAAAATGATAAGATGCTTCCACGACGTGCAATCGAACGTGATGAATGTAAAAACCGAAGAGGAAAAAAGTTATGTGTTCGTACCTACCATTGGGAAATTCAAATCGACGAATTGAGAAGATGAATTGAGACGACCAGCAACAGAACAACACCATGATGAATGGAGAGGATGGCACTAGTAAGAGTGGGAAGTCGCATTATTTGTTGCTAGAGAACGAAGAAGTTGATGAACATAAGCAGAAGGAATAAACGGGAATATGATATGAAGGATAATTTAAAAATACGAAGTAGACGCGAGTCAACTCAACTCGTATAGTAGAACAAAATTAAAGCGGGACTCCAAATTTTAACCTTTATAAGTTTTATACTCTTATTTATGGAGTTTTTTTCAGATCTTGACAGTTGACATTTCAAATCTAGCAATTAACTAATAGAAATTTATCTAAATAGGACTAAAATATAATGACTTTCCCAATATAGGACTATATGTTTTTATTTCTCAATGTAGAACTTTTGGTCATTATCAAATAGTCATTATTCAAGTAAATGTCCATTATTTCTCTTACTAGGTCATTATTAAGTCCTATTTAGAGAATAAAAAAGCATAAATACTACATTAGGAAAGTCATTATGTTTTGGTCCTATTTAGTGCAAATTTTACATTAACTAAACACCTCAAAATAGAGAGTGGGGTTGGATTCAAATTGGGCCATTTCTTGTAATAGTAACGGGTCGTAACTATCCCGGGACTGGGCTTCGATATGATTATCTGTACAAATTTGTCGGGTCCGACTGCCGATACCTAGCAGCTCTCGGCATCTCTTCCGTATTTGTTGTGTTCTCAGAAAAACCGGTTCTTTACCGATCACGTTCCGGCGTGCATTCTCGCCGTGTAGCCCCTTCCGCTTCCTTCATCACGGACGTTCAATTTCACGCGCTTCGATCGAATCTTACCCTAAAAAACTGAAAATTGCAGGCGGAAGAATGGATTCCTCCTATTTATCGTGTTCAATCTATTCCGTATAGGTTTGAGATCCGAACACGCAGTCTCTGTTTCTTACTACAAGGATATATTTCCCCCTTTCGAATTGATTGGGACCTTTATTTACCGTCCAATCTCTCAATTTAGGGTTAGTTTGCCTTGACTTGAGGAATTATCCCGGGGAAATTGGAAATTTTCCGCAAGCTAAGCTGCAAGTGTTTGGTCGTGTTGATTATTTGGCTTTTGCTTCACTCAGAATCTGGATTGCTGTTTATTTATTCGAAGGTTTTCATCTGAATATGTCGAATCGTCATGTTCATGATCGTGTGCTTAGTTATGAATTTACAGATACAACAAGCTGTTCTCCCATGATGTTTTAGCTGTTTGGGTGTTCGATATTTTATAAGTTTTGATTAGGGAAACTGAAGTCATGTCTCGAGACAGAAGAAGTACTGGAGTTGACAGAATGTTTAGGTCTCCCCCACCTCCGCATTCCTTGCAGGCAAGGGGTCGTGGTCGAGGTTCCTCTCCTCAAAGGGAGGATAGAGGTCGGCGTTACTCGCCTAAAAGTGACCGTTTTTCACAGCCAAGGCGAATCCGAGAATTTGATCGCTCCCCACCAAGGTCACAGGAGCGCAATCTCTTTCCCCCAAGGACTCAACCCCCACACAGGGCACTGGAGCAGCGCCACTCGCCACCTAGGGTAAGTGAAAGCTATTACCCTCGAAACAGGGCAATAGAGCATCCTTACTCACCACCCAGGGCTAGCAAACGACATTACTCGCCGAACCGGGCACTAGGGCTTCCTTACTCACCACCCAGGGCAAGCAAAGGATATTACTTGCCAAACAGGCTGCAAGAACGCCCTTACTCCCCACCAAGGGAGCAAGAGCGTGATTACTCACCACGCAGAGAGCGGAGGGAACGAGGCTGTAATTACTCACCACACAGGGAAAGAGAACACTTTTACTCACCACGCAGGGAAAGAGAGCCCTTTTACTCACCTCCTTCAAGAGTTCAAGAACAAAAGCAATCACCACCACGGGATAGAAGACACAATCGTGACTATGTGTCACCAATGAGGAGCCAGAACGGTGAATTTATTCCTATTGGGAAAGAAACAGAGGGGAGACGTGTGGAGTACTTTCATGATCTTGAACAATCAAGGAGGATGGAGAGGAAAGACATTGGACTTGACTTTGGAGAATTTTCTGGTGTGGGTACTTCTACTCGTGCTGGTGGCGAGAGATGGCATGACCAACCTCAGAGCTTGAGGGTCTCTGAAGGCGATAGTCGAAAAGGAGACCGATATGGTGGCCCTTCTGACTCAAGGAGAAAATATGAATTTACAGATGCCCTTGCACATAGCGACTCAACTTCTGTGAAACATCAATTCAGTAACCTAGATGATCCACTAAGAACTGATATTTTGAATGGCCCAATTGATCATGGGTTTGGCAGTGCTAAAGCAAGTGGTGAGCTAGGAAGCGAGGGGAGACCATATTTTGGTCCAGTTGACATTAGAGCCATCTCTGCGGAAGGTGATCCGAGAAGAGTTCGTTCATCATATGAACCCCGATCTTTGGATTTTGGTGATCCACCGAGAAGTAGCTTTGATGATGGTGATAGGTATGCACCGGGACAACATAATCTTAGCATGAAGCTTCACGGTGGAAATCAGAATCCTTTTCAAGGCATACAACAATTAGATAAATCACCTACAGAGAGGCAAGTGTTGAGAGATGCATATATGGAGACTGGGACCTTGGATTCTTTACGCCACTCGCATTATGGTTCTGGTTATGTGGCTTCATCATCTCACCTAAATGCATTTACCAATAGGTCTCCCACTGAATTGAAAAATGGTGTTAATAGCTCATTCGGAGAAGATGGTCATATTCCTTTGGATGGAAGGAGGACATTCATTGGAAGGTTGGGTGAACCTAATGTTTATGAGCATAATTCTGTAATTAGATCTCCTAATGGAAAAGTAGATGCCATTGGGAATTATTCAGAGGTACGCTTCACCCCGACTGATGGACATAGAAGTAGCACACATTCAGGCAAGTTTGGCACTAACGCACCCAGTAATACAAGGCCTAGTGAATTTTATAGTAGGAATGTGGGTATTGGAGAAGAATACAGTCATCAGAATGTTTCAAGAGCATGTAAATTGGATCCTGTTAGAAGTGATGACTTCTCTTACCGTGAATACATGACAGAACACAAGCCATGGGACTGTGTCCCTTCTTCACAAAGACCATCAAATCCAGGCTACTTTGAGGCAAGTGGTGCACTTGATAAGGGAAAGCAAGAAATGGATATTTTGGAGTATGATGGTAATAATCCCATTCACAAAAGGGTGTTGTATAAGGGCTATAGAAGTGCTAGCGAGCTTCATGGCCATGGGATGGATGAACATCTCTCCACTTTTCACGAAAAATCTGGTGTACTGTACAGAGATCATAATCTTCATTTAGATGAAATCCAGGCAATACCTAAATCATCTACTGGTATGTTCAAGAGGAAACATGGTAGCGAACTGAACATCCGTAGTGGGTTTGGAACTATATTATCAAGCCATGGAAGGAGTGATGGAAGGAGTGTTCACAGAATCCAGGAGCAGGATGAGAGTGAAAGTTCTGTGCCTAATTCTAAAAAAATGAAGGCTAATAACTCCAAGTATGGGAAGAACATAAAGAAATATAATATGCCCACCCGCAATAGGCTCCACAGTACAACAAGCATTGCTAGTCGGTTGAGCAAGGTGAATAAACATGGAACAAGAAATATTAAGAGTCCTGGAACTAGGGATATTAAGAAGCGGTTGGGACCACAGCCGCAAGATGTTGAAACTTCTCATTCTTCAGTGAAGAAGTACAAGTCTTCCTTGAAGAACCGTTTGGGACCTCGCTCTCAAAAGAATCGTGCTACTCTTCCATGGATGAAGAACCTCACTTTGTACAAGGAGTCAAAAGATCAGGATGACTTAACTGAAAGTCTACCTGATCAAGGGGATGATCCTTTAGAAAGTAGTGTTACTCCGCTGAAGAATGAACCACCGGAGGATTCTGAGGATTTTAAGCAGTTGGTCCATAATGCTTTTTTCAAGTTTGTCAAACACTTGAATGAGACGCCAGCTAGAAGAAGAAAATATATGAAGCAGGGAATACCTAGTTGTTTAAAGTGCATTATATGCGGCAGGTCCGTCTCTTACATGATGAAGTGTTTTTATAAATGGAGCAATACTCTCTATTTTATTCAACTTATTGTCCATAAACTCGGTGAACTGATCGAGCAAGGCTTCCATAATGTGTCATAAATTTCCCTGCCATTATCATCCGGTTAGATTATCTATCAAACTATGTGGCTACTGATTGCATCCCATGGATAGTTGCTGCTCTATTCTGGTGTGGTTTTAGGAGATTGGTAGGTCTGTGGAAGTTGTTTATTGGTGACAGAGAGAATTGAAGATCAAATTCTGATAGTTGCAATTGTTTTTCTGTGTACATGGAGAAGTATGCATGATACTAAAAAGAAATCTGAACTCTGATTAATGACTTAAATCATCCTAATGACTTTGAGAATGTACCAATCTGCCTTGATCTCTATGGTAGTTTCAAAGACTAGTAACTGCTATGGTGAAAGATAAGTTGCCCATCTTTGGATTAAATCTGTATCACTTGCTTGAACATGATTACATGAATGCCTGGAGAAAGGTCGATGAGTACAACTGCTAGGAAGTCAAAATTTAGTGTTTTCATCATATTTGACCTGGTGTCAAACTCTGGTTTGTCAAATATATGTACTCCCTTTGTCCAAGTTGGTTCTTCCTGTACAATATTCACACGGTCAAACTTTATTCACTTTGTTTGGTTATTTTCACTACTCATTTCTTAATATTATAGCCATGTCACTCTTGTTTTATAGAACTTTTTATCTAGTTTTTAATATATTTTATTTTTGAATTTTACTCTTACAATCAAATAAATTGAATTGAAAATAAAGTCGGCCAAGCCTTGTAACGCGTAATGGGAGCAACCAGCTTGGACGGTGGGAGTACTTCGTGGAAATTTTAATGCTAGGTAGTTGTAACAGACTAACAGCAAAGTGACACTAGTTGTAATGAAAACGGGAAAGAAAAGCTAAAATATTATGGGATTGGCTCCTCATGTTAGAGCATATAGCATATGGTAGTGCTATACCATTTTCTTTTGATGAGACTGATATTTCTGACTAGTTGAATGGTTTTGGGGATTTCGTATTTTGACTGTGTTTATTGATCCAATGTGATTCTCCTTTTTCTAATCAACAACACTAACGTTTTTCAGTATGTTAAGACTTTCTTTTTCCATGTGCCTTTTGGTTAAAACTTACTGGGTAAGTATTTTTTCCTCTGCTTTTCCAGAGATTCCGAAGAATTTGAAGATGTGGAAAGTTTGGTGAAGCATGCACTGGCATCGACAAAGGTTGGTGTGCGATCACAGCATTTGGGTTTTCACAAAGCATTATGTGTGTTGATGGGATGGAGAAGTGCAGAGAATCCCACCACTACGTGGGTTTGTGAGGCACTTCCCAAGGATGAGAGCTTGGCTCTTAAGGACGACCTTATCATTTGGCCTCCTGTTGTCGTAATTCATAATGTTAGCCTTACGACGAACAGCAATCCAGATGAACATGTTGCTGTGTCTGTGGAAGAGCTGGAAGCTAAGCTTAAAGGTATTTTTTCTCTCACAAGTTCTTACCCTCACATATAATTAGAAATTCGTTTTCAAAAGTTTTTCTCCAAAACAGTTTTGTATGACTAGATAAAGTTTTTTTGTGTATTTTTTTTATCAAAACAGAGTAATAAACAAGTTGAAGAGGATAAGCTTAACCTACGAATAAACATTACCGTGCTCATCCCATAAAAAGAGTCATGCACAATAGTACTACTTTTTAATTTTAGTTGTAAGTTTAGGAAATAATCAATTAAAGGTGACTTGTGAAATTTATTTGTTGGTGCACCTAAATATAATCTCATATAAAGAGTCATGCACAATAGTACAAATTTTTAAATTTTAATATTAGTTACAACTTTAGGAAATAATCAATTATAGGTATCTTGTTAAAATTATTTGTTGGTACAAGTAACTTTAATATGCTCAACTTGTTTGGGACAGCTTTATAAGAAATAAATTTATTATGAAAATTAACTAAGTTTAACTCTAATTAGTCCATTTTTTGTGACAACAATTTTTGCAAGAAAGGCTTTTTGTGGGGGATGGATTATGACTTATAAAAGCTGCCCCTTGTCCAGAATCAAGATTAGAAGGTTTGAACTTGATCAAGCATGACTCTTTTCTTCTGTCCACAGTTTTTACAAGTTGAGCAGTGATTTACCTATCACAAATCCTGACATTTTTTTAGAGAGAAAGAAGTGTCGATTGAAGATGTGATTGTGTTTTTTCTCCTATTTAGGACGGTATTTTTAGGTCTAAAATATAATTTCTCCCCCGGCTTTTCACAAAGTGCATTGCTCTCGGACAGAGGCGGCAAGAAGTGCACGACTCCAAGCTGCTGAAGAAAAATGCCAAACGCCTCTGCCTCGGGCGTGTTTCTTAAAACTAGGCCCCAACACTGTTGGTATAAAACTATAAATGCTTCAAATAGACATAAGACAGACCTGGGGAAGAGATTCTCTTTTTGTGTGCGTGAGATATAAGATAAACCAAGACAGTTTGTTTTGAAGTGGGTATCTCAGTGTAGATAAGTGAACTACTTTGTGATGCTTGATGAAAGTGTTTAAATGCCTCAGTTTGTTTGAACATGTTTGAATTGTCTCCAGAATGATCTGGTTTGCATGTCAAGTGCTCTGCATATGCTTTACTGTCTTAATATAGGTTTCAAATTGCTCTTTTACATGGTTTGTATGAGTAAAAAATGTTAGTAGTAGATTGATTATGGAAAACTAGGAGAAATTGATTTAGTTTTAAGGGTGTTGAGCCATTAATCATGGAACATTAGAAATGGGGAGATGCTCTGCAAACAGTATGTGGGCAACATACCCATTGACATGCACAAATTTTCTAAAGCATGGTCAAACAACTATATGGAAGGGTGTGTTTGGTTTGAAGGGGTGGGTAGGGGAGGATATCAACGGAGACCAGATTTTTCCCTTTCCTCTGAACTAAACACACCTAAAAAGGAAAATGTAACATCTAATACAAGACGGAGGGGGTATTGTATTATTTTCACATGAACCTATGGGGAGTTACAGCTCAAAGTATGATATGCGCGTGGGGCTTCAAAGTCCACAAGGAATGTGTCTTACCCGATGTTTGGTTTCCCTAACACTATGTTTGGTTCAAGGAATTTGAAAGGGAAAAGAAAATAAAATGAAGTGGAGAACCATTTTTCTTGTTTGGTTAGAGAGGAAAATAAAGGAAAAGTGAAAGGAAAAGAAAATGCAAAGACAGAATGTACTAAGACAAGGGAAAACCAAATTCCTCCCATTTCGGTGAGAAAAACGAGAGAAAATCATTTTTTTTTCTTTTCCATCCAAATTCCTTGAACCAAACATAGTGTAAGTGTGTGCTAAGTTCTTTTACCCATGTGTGTTTTTCTTCCTGTGTCATTTTGCTGCTGTATTTCAGACATGGGGTTTGGAGGCCACAATGTGTGTCGTGGGAAACCAGTGAACCAGAGTGTCCTGGTGGTTAAGTTTGCCGCAACCCTTTCTGGTCTAGAGGAGGCCGAGAGGCTCAGCAAGGTCTACACAGAGACAAAACACGGGAGGGCCGAGTTCCAGCAAATCAGTTCTGGGGACAGCAGCACTGGGAGCTGGGCCCACGCCCCCTCGGCAGACAAGATGGAAGATGTTCTGTTTGGCCACCTGGGAATCGTGGAGGACGTGGATAAACTGGATTTTGAGACCAAGAAACGGAGCAAGATAAAGAGCAAGAGGGAGATTCAGAATTCTGCTGCGGCCCCTGTGAAGAGGAGGAGAGGGTAAACAAATGAAGGGCTCATCATGGTTTTGGCTTTTGAATCTGTGTGTTATGATATTAGTAGTTGGAATGTTTTTTTTTTTTTGTTTTTTTTTTGTTTTGCTACTCGGAGACGTTATTGGTAAATCTGATATCCGGGTTAAGAAAGAACGTTTGGATGGTGCGTTTCCTCACTCGTATAAGCACAGTCATTCTTTACTAATAAGATGGTCAATTGTATGTTTGTAATTGTTTTTTTGTTTTTGTTTTGCTTGGAGAGCACATGCCATGTATTATTGCATAGAATATTAACCAAAGATGTCCGATAGGGCAAGGCTTTTAAAGCCAATCTGATTTGCCCATAGAATGAGCAAACATAAAGACGTCTTCTAACAGAGGCAAAAGAAATAATATAGTTACACATACTCCGTATCTCATTTATCAAATATTTTTTCTTAAACAAGTATTACACTATAAACACTTGACATAAACATCTTATCAAACAACTTAACAACCTATTTTAAAAACTAATACTCCTCCGTATGAAAGTAGGGACGAACACGATTGTGACTTTAAATCGAAAGTGGAAACAAATGTCTCATAATTGCAACTAAAAAGGGGACTGAGAGGTGTTTGGTAGTGATTAATTTGTGGATAAAGTCATTTTTATAAAAGCTAAAAGCACCTTATAATTGGTTCTCCGAAAGGGTGTTCTATGTACAAAGTTGTGGTGGAGAAAAGCAGAAGCTGACATACCAAACAGAGTAAAATCACTTCCAGTCAAAGCAGAAACTAAGTTCTTAAAAATAGCGCACTGCCAAATACCCTCTGAACGACTGCAACTTGTGCAATGGGGGAGGGGTTGATACTTGATTTTTGGGAATGAACAAACGACTCCTCTTTAATTTTATTAATTTTCCGCATCGTTCCCTTTTAGATTCTTTCTATCTATTGGTTGAGCAATAACTTTTTAGTTGTTTAGAATTTTAGAAGGAGCAACCTCATTCCACTCTTTTCCCATGAAAATGCTATGAGTAACTCAAAAATGTACCCCAAGTGAACATCACACTCTCTCTAACATACATTTTTGGGTATGGACAAGAAGATTAGAGAATGGATAAGGAATGCGTGGTGAGGAGAGTCATGATATACAAATGGGGTATATTTTTAGTGTACTCCTAGCTTAAGTTGCACCGAGATGCGGACACGGTATATTCGGAGACAGATCGGAAGCATGAAATGCCATTTTTTATAATTTATAAAGGATTTGGATTTGGGGATATTTTGGAGACGGGAAGCGGCACCTATTTGAAGAATCTCTGCAACATATCCCCTAGCATTACTCTTTTCCCATTTCATTTATTTCTTATAAAAATACGAAGCACTTTTTTATTTCAAGATTTTTTTCTTAATTTTCAAATCCAATCTCTTACTTTCTTAACTTTTTTACTATTCTCAGAAAAAGAATCTTAATTTTCTTATCTTACAAAGTATTAAAATGTGTTCATTGTATTTCTTTAACAAAATGAAACCGATCAAAATTGGAACCTACTCTACAATTTTCGGAACTAAGCTATTCAAAATTAACTCATCCAGAGACCAAGAACCTGCAATTTTAGAATCGAAATTGAGACATGGTCCAAATCGACCATGTCCATCCCTATATGTAAGGAGTCATTTGATATTTGTAGGAGATATGGATTTTGATTTTTTTTGATATAAAACCCTTTTGTAAGTGTTTGGTAAAGACTATGTGAGATTTTAATCTGTCGATATCATGACTATCTTAAATGAGTTATTTTGATATTCTTCAAAGTTATGAGATATAAATCCAGGGCTGCAATAATCCACTCCTGCCGACCACCAACTATCTTTGTCCTCCTACAATTGCTGACTCCTTCCTGCAATCGACCAGACGACCACCCAACGTTGTTGGTCATTTACCGCCGACCATTCATAGTGGCCTGCCAACTGACACTGACCACTCATCGTTGCCGGCCACCCATAGCTACCTGTCACCGATAATCGACCATTTCCATCGCAAGTCGTCCACTTATATTAAATAACAACCATTATTTAAATCTCTCCAACCATTTTCATTTTAAACATTACTAGTAGAACTAATATCATAGATACTCCTAAAGTCATTGCGTCCTAAATAAGGAATATGTACCTAGGCCAAAAGATGTCCTCTTTCAAGGGCTGATAAACGCAGTCCGAACAAGACGGCTCAAAATTGAAGGCTTGGGCGCTTGTTTTCAATTGGGACGAAGGCAACGTCAAAAACTCTCCCAATCTCCCCTCCATTCCGTCCCTTCGCTCAAATGCGATCCAAGGACAGGATCTCTTACTTCTACGATGGTGAATTCTCTTCCTTTTCTATATTCGCGCCTTCAATTTCTGGACCCTTTTTGTTTCTGACTTCCAGTACTGGAAACCCTTGTTCAAAGGAACAGGCTTTTGTAGCATTACTGTCTACTTGTCCGCGTTTGTTCTAACTGTGGATTCGGTAAGCTGCAGGGGATGTTGGGAATGTCTACTTTGGGCCTAACCATCCGATGAAGCCACACAGGCTTTGTATGACTCATCATCTGGTTCTAGCTTACGGTCTTCACAATAAGATGGAAATTTATGTTCGTATCTTATTTTCTCTGTTTGCAAATTTTATTTTGATGTATCTTACGCAATAATGTTGGTTAAACTAGCTATATTTTGGTCCATTTGTTCATTGTATAATATTTATTGTAATGCTTGGCTGGAATAGAGGCCTCACAAGGCGTATCCGATGGAGCTGGCTCAGTTTCATACACCTGAATACATTGAGTTTCTGCACAGGATAAAGCCGGACACCCAGAACTTATTCGAGACCGAACTGAAAAGATGTAATTTTTCTTGCTTGCCGTCACTTTTTTATTGTTGTTTGCTCCTAAACATATGGTAGTGCTTTCTGCATTTGGGTTGAACACACTTTCCCAATAGCTAGCTCAAGATCTTCTCACTTAAGTGTGTACATGTTGTGCATGAGAGAGTGAGAGAGGTGTAGGCGAGGGTGTCTTAGGGTCAGTATGGATGGAAGATGGGTTTGGACTATGGTAGGCTTTGGGGGAAAATATTTGGAGTGCTTACTCTTGATATATACAATGTTTCTAAAAAAGAATTAAACAATATTAAGGTGTCATATAATCACCCTTATATAGTCTCAAACCTCTTCCCTCCACGAGTCTCCAAAAGTGACCATGGAAATTGCCCTTACTGTCTTGATTTGCCAAGCAGAGATGTATTGGTCATTAGTTGTGCAACAACAATCAGTTTTCCTACAATTCTAGTTAGATATCTACTATAGTGTTTGCACTTCCAGTGACATTATGTGTTCTAAATAAATGTTTTCTTTTGTACCAGATAATCTAGGAGAGGATTGTCCTGTATTTGATAACCTGTTTGAGTTTTGTCAAATTTATGCGGGTGGAACAATAGGTAAGTTCATCCCTAAATTGTTTATTCCAGACCAAGCCCCTGCGCTGTTGCTGAATCATGATCAGTACTAATTGGCAGATGCGGCACGCAGATTAAACAATCAGCTATGTGATATAGCTATAAATTGGTCGGGTGGTTTGCACCATGCCAAGAAGTGCGAGGCTTCAGGATTTTGTTATATTAATGATCTAGTCCTGGGAATTTTGGAGCTTCTCAAGTATCACTCCCGAGTTTTGTATATTGATATTGATGTACATCACGGAGATGGTGTAGAAGAGGCTTTTTATTTTACAGATAGGTAGCTTAACTCTCTTCTCTTATCTCTTAGTTTTTTCTAATAGACTGGTATGCATTTGTAGTTTTAGACAGTCACTAACTGTTTTAGTTGTTAACTTGTTATGTCAAATTCAAAATGGTTATAAAGAAAGTGAATAGAGACCTCCAGCCCAAGCACAACCAAAGTAAACCAACAGAGTAGACACAAAAGCACGGACAAAGTAGTATCAAAGATCAAAGAGCAAAGAAAGCGCATAGAAACAAGAAGCACACAAACCGATACCAACAACTAGACCCCAAGCATAGAAAGCACACAAAAGAAAGAGCAAAAATGCACCCACAAAAAACTACCACTAAGGCCCAAAAGTCTATCCAACTACTTTAGTCTTAGATCCCAAGATGTAAGGTCATCCCTCAGTAAGTTCCATAAGCCTTAAGTCCTATGTCTGTCTAATCACCTCATGCCAACTCTTCCTAGGTCTGCCTCTACCGCTACTCTTGCTTACTACCATAATTTATCCATTTCTGGTATTGGTCCAATTTCTTTTTCTGGGTGGGTAGTCCGTAGTTGAAAATTCCACGGTGGCGGGGGACCAGTTACTTTGAACTTCTTTCTCACTAGAGAAGTTACCTTACACTGGTGTGGTCCATGTGATCATCATCTATGCCATTACATTGCCATCTAATGCTTTTGATATCTTATTTGTGATTGTTAGATGCCAATAAAAACGTTTTGCTCTTGGGTTCTTCTAGTAAGATCAGAAGAAAAACACAGCACATTGGTAAATCATGTGGATGCAACTTATATAAGAATTTTAATATTTTGCTCCGCAAAAATGAGTGATGTGATCTCTTAGATGGATGAAGAAAAAACACTCTGTACCCGGTATATGCAAGATACTTCATTTGATTCATTTCTTAAATTAAATTTCAATGTTACAGGGTAATGACTGTCAGTTTCCACAAGTATGGAGATAAGTTTTTTCCTGGAACAGGTGATATGAAGGTACGGTTCCTGCTGAATTTTTCTGATTTCTTATTTGTGAATTTTCATTTTTATCTATTCCACAAAAATATTGATTTATATGAATACGTAATGATGCTCCATCCACTTAACAATTTGCATGGATATTTTTTTGGAACTGAAAGCACTTCATTTCAAACACAGACCCCAAGGAAAGTATTACAATAACAAATTACAAAAACAAACATTAGAAAACCAGACACAGCTATACTGTATCACTATTTTGTTAAGCTTATAATGCATGTAGTATTTAGTTTTGCTCCTGAATAGTTGCAGCATTTTTCAACTTTCCATATCCTTTTTTGATGAATCTTGTTGTTCCTTGCTTGCCATAAAGTATAACAAACAACATCCCACACTGCTATCAACAGTTTCCTGGGTTGTTTATTAACAAAGTTCAACATGTACCTGTAGAAATCATGCATACTTGCATACTACCTGAATCATCCTGTTCCCAAATACCAAAGACCAACTTATTAAAATTTGGATCCAAAAGCCACATATCACAAAACTTGAAGCTCTTATTAGTCTTTATCCTCTCCTGGTTAGGGACCAGTAAAGCAGTATGATCTGACAGACTTTCCTCGATTATAATAGTGTTAGTTCCATATTTACTAATCCATTCCATATTAGATAGAACTCTTTCCAATTTTGAATATATTCTATTCCCTGAGCTTTGTAGCTTATACAGAACAACAAAATCTCTGGTCTCCTTTTTAGTTACCTGATTCCCACCAATCCTGTCTTCCAGTTTAAGAACTGCATTAATGTCTCCCATCACACACCATGCTTCGCACATGTTTTCATAAAAGGGTTCAAGCTTGGACCACATACTTTTCCTAGAACTAACATCATAATGCCCATACACATTAAGTGATGTATCTGTTGTCCTTTTCACCAATTCTTCTAACTTTGCAATGTACTACTTGGTCAGAAAAATCAACATTCTGGTTATCTAACTTGTTTTTATTCCACACTAGCCAAATCCTACCCAAATAATGGGGGTTATTTTTAATGAAGGAGCCCCAGCGCTTGAACAATTAATTCTCTGCTTCCTTTAAATTATTAGCTCTGATCTTAGTTTATTAATTAGGTCCTTCACCTCTTCTTGCTTAGTGTCCATTCAGTCCTCTCACATTCTAGCTACCAATCATAAAAGGAAAGGGAAGTGCCCATTGTATGGGACTTCATCTAACATCTTATTCAATATGACTCCATCACATTGTTTCCCATCAAAATCTTTATATATAACAATCCTTCTTGCTACCTTCTTTCCACTCACTACAATAAAACCTTCCTCATCCACCATTTCTCTCTGCTTCTCTTCCTCTCCTTTATTTTCTAACTCTGTGTAAGTTCTTATTTCTTTATCCGCTGTCTCTTCCTTTTGCTCTTGTATCACCTTAGGTTTACAAACCAGTTTTCTATTTTGATCCCCCTTTTTCTGAATGACCAGTTCTATGACAATGTGTACGTAGAACAGGATACCACTCATATTGGAATTGCTGGGTGATTTGGATGTCATGTTCATTTGTGAAGTATACATGCTCAGGGAATTCCTGTTTCATAGACACCTCTACCAGCAATCTAGCATAACTAGACCTGATCATGGGGCGGGGTATCTGATCCGGCCCATAGAATTTTATACTTTCGTGTCATGTCCATAGTTGTAAATTCTCTTTCTATAAACGAGTAAGATTTTATTTTATTGCATTTTCTTCTCCATTGAAATTCTTATGTTTCTACCCCTAAACCCCTCAAAAATTTTAGGAGTCCTATTGTGATTGGTGTGTTGGATTTTGTTTTCAAGGATTCTTGCCTCTTTTCTGTTATGCCAATAGTCCATTTGCAGTCAGAAAAAAATATAAAAATTAAGTATGCTAGCTTGCTCATTATGGAGCATGCTGATGAATTGGAGCACCAGGATGCAACCACCTCATTAGATGACTATATATTGATGTTTCAGTTCAACAGCATGCTCCATAGTGAGCACAAATGCATGCTCCATATACTTGCTTGAAAAAGTTCAAGTTGCAGTTGTTGTGTTTGAGAAGCCGCATAGTCCCTAGGCATTGATGCTGATGCATAGCCTTCTTTTGTGTCTGTTATTTTTTCATTATTAGAGAAAAACTTATCTTGAATTATTATTCCTCGTTTGGTATAAATTTGCAGATTGAGCTCACTGCCTTAACCTTACTATAAATGACAATTTTGCGTTATTATTTTAGTTTTACTTTCCATGCAAAATGGTGATGTCCATCTTTTTTGGAAATGGATATACAAAATGTTTTAAAAGATGTATTAAGATGATAGTGTAATTTGAAGGATGTAGGAGAAAGAGATGGAAAATTTTATGCCATAAATGTGCCATTCAAGGACGGGATTGATGATTCCAGTTTCACTCGTCTCTTTAGAACAGTAAGACTTTGTCTCGAACCGTGAACATCTACATTTTTATTTTTGCAGTTGTGCCTTCCTAAAATCCTGGCTTGGGGCCGGTTGGCATTTGTAGGTTATTTCAAAGGTGGTTGAAACATATATTCCTGGAGCAATTGTTCTCCAATGTGGAGCAGACTCATTAGCTGGTGATCGTTTGGGCTGCTTTAACCTCTCCATTGATGGTGCTACACTTGTAATTTTGAAATTTCATCCATTGTTCTATACTCTATTGGCAACTTTTATATGGGTGTCTGATAATTTGATTCTTCTTGTAGGGCATGCTGAATGTGTTAGGTTTGTGAAGAAATTTAACATACCCTTGCTGGTATTTTTTTTTGCGAACAAACTGTGCTTAATATGGAACGATACGATATGATTAACAATGAGGGGTACCCTTTTCACAGGTGACTGGAGGAGGGGGGTATACCAAAGAAAATGTCGCTAGATGTTGGACTTATGAAACAGGGGTTCTTCTAGACACAGAGCTTCCTAATGGTAATTACTGCACCCTCCCCCCCCCCCTCTATAAATGTTTTGGTCACGAGGCAGGTGTACAAGGTGAATGCATTAATGTTTCACTTTTTTTTAAAATTTCCCAACAGATATACCTGATAATGACTACATCAAATATTTTGGCCCTGATTATTCATTGAAGATTCCCGGGGGGCACATTGTATGTTGAATTTTCATATTCTTATTTTACAGTCTATATTAGGAATGAAAAATCACTTCTATTGCAAATTTATATGAACTCTTTTGGAGCAGGAGAACATGAACAGCAAATCATATCTTGGCACCATAAAAACACACGTATTGGAAAGTCTTCGTTGCATCCAGCATGCTCCAAGTGTGCAGCTGCAGGAGGTAATTAGTTTTGTCTTTTGTCTCTAAATTACTTGCTATAAATAATACTCCATATAACAATATGTTATGGTTATTTTAATCCCATGCCCTCTTTCACCAAAGGCACTACCTAGCATCAAAGAATGTGTGTTGTGGCGCTGCGGATAATCTTTGATGACCACCAAAACTTGGGTTGACTTTTTTCATTCTTCCATTTTTTTTGTAGGTACCACCTGACTTTTACATTCCAGATTTTGATGAAGATGAGCGAAATCCTGATGAGCGCTTGGATCGTAAGTGAAAACTGGAAAAACTACACTTTTAACTCCCCACCCCCACCCACCCCCTACCACACAAATTTCATTCATCACGGTTGTGATCTTGCATAAAACTGTCACTTTTTTATGCATGAATTTAATAATTGATGATTTAATCAATGAAAACACACAAATAAACAAAAGTTGTGAGTTGACCAAAAAAGACTAAATTATGAGTAAAACATGGAGAAAGTATCAAAATAGGAGCTCCATGTTTTTTATCCCTAAAATAAGAGTACAATACCAATATATAATACCAAAAGATACAGGGGGATGCCACTATACATTGCCACAATGTCACTTTGCAAACTCCTATTTTGGATACAAAACGTAGAACTCCTATTTTGAGGATAAATGCTACTATGTTTTACTCTTATTTGGGGCGATTTTTCTAGTAACCGAGACAATATTTCTGGTGGGAGTGGGTTGAGATGAAGGTGTTAATGATGATTGGAAAGACTTTATCATTGCCTATAAACTTATGTTACTTTCATCCCATACTTACTCAGAGCATACACAAGACAAGCAAATCCAGCGAGACGATGAATATTATGAAGGTGACAATGACAATGATCAATTCATGGATGATGCATGAGCTCCCCCAACATCCTCTTTGGTTTTAGCTTCTGGGGGTAGGGATTTATTCTTAGTTTGAGATATGACTAGGTTATATCTTGTATGTATATATATATGCTATCGTTTTGGTTTGGATAAGAGGAAAACAGAAACACAATTCCAATGTTGTCTTTATGGCTTATTCTGGCATAATACTGAGTGTGGATGGTTTTGGTGATAGTTTGTATAGGGCAATGTTGTGTTTTCGGGGCTTTTCTCCTAGAGGACAAAGACGAATGTCCAAACATGTGAGAAAAAACTGCTAGAGTATACTCTTCACTATCCAAAAATTATGAAATTTTTTGTTTGTTTATATGTTTTCATTGTTTAGTTGATAAAATAAAATATTATTATCTGTGTTTGCCTGGTGTACAAATGGGGTGTCTCATTTTAGTGTACCCTAGTATGCCCCTTATTTAAAACTAGCGGAGTCAAGTACCTCTGTCCATAATTGTTAAAAGAAAAATAGACAAATACACTGAGACGGAGGTAGTAAATGAGTCTCATCCATATGAATCTAATATGATGACTAGGCAGCGCAAAAGTAATAACATAAATTGAAACATTTCTAGGAGTAATGATGTAAATTAATGATCTCAAGAGTACTATAGAGTATTCGTGTGAATTTTCCATTTTAATTATTCAAATATAGTACTTTACATTTAAAACCAAGTAATATTATTGTAAGGAAGAGAAGATGTAGTAGCCGATGACCTATTCTCACTAGGGGTGTTCATCGGTCTAAATTAGACCAGACCGAAGACCGAACTCATTTATAAGTAAGACCGAAATTAAATATTCTAAAAAAGATTCCTCATTAATTTAAAGTGTATAACGATTGAGAGTATTATCGCTCTAGACTAAATAGTAATTGAGAATGGATCGTATCAGATCGAAACTCAAAATCTTAAATAATCTGGACCTAAGATTGACCCTACGATCCCGGTTCAATTTGGATCTATGGATCTAATTAGATCAATTTTTGCAGAAAAATGCTAGGGGTACACCAAATGTGTACCCCACCCCTCCTTGTCCACAAAAAAAGGTAAGAAATTCAAAAAAAATGAATAAATAAAAATAAAATAAAAATAGATAGTGGAGAAGGGGGTGGTGTACATTTGGAGTGGTTGCTCAATTTTGGCGATCCTGACTTAAACTGAGTTAAACATGATGACGCAGTGTGAGCCTTGTTGGAAACATTTTTTTTACCCCGCATTTGCAAACTCATTGACCTACCCACGCCTACAGCCCACATTCCATACTTATCTGCAGGGGAGGGTAAGCAAACATCTTTTTCTTTTCTTTTTGTTTATTTTTTCTCATCAAATTTCTTCAAAAAGGTTCCAAATTAGCTTCAACTTTGGTTTTCAAGATTTCTCCTCACCATCATGATGATAATAATAAGCTCTCTTGCTTGTGTTAGCAATTGCTCCGTATAGTCCGTCTGTCGATGTGGTCGAGAGATTTGCTAATGTTCAAACTCACTTGCATCCCTTTCAGCATAAAAAAGCTCAAAGATTTGGTCTTTCTGCGTATTTAGTACTCAATTTAGTGCCCATCTATTTAATTGTACAGTTTTAGTATATCTTTTTTTGTTTTTTTTGTTTATGCCTACTGTGACTTCCCTCCAAATTGGGCATTTTTCTTTTGAGGGAATAAATCCGGTTCTGTAAAGTTTATTAAAGGGTTGTTGTAATTCAAATAGAGCTAAATGGGTTGCCATTTTCAGATCTTAATTCTTTTTGCTGGTTCTAAACAGTTTTTAGTTTAAGTTTTCTTTTTTGAAGTTATGCTGACTCTGAGTTTGGCTTCCCTCCTGCAAAGTTGGTATTTTTTTAGGGAATAAATCTTTTTGCTGGTACTGTAATGTGGACAATTGCAAGTAGGCTAATAGTTAGATCAAGGGGTTGTTGTGATTTGAGTAGAGCTAAACGAGTTCCCATTTTCAGATCCATAGCATCAATGGGTCTGCAAGTCTTCTCAGGGGAGATGTCTTGCAGTTTGTTCCATAGATGTTCATCCACTGTGATTTCAAGGTCGTATCTTTTATTCAAAGGAAAGAATCCCAGATATAGATGCTCTCTGTATTCAAGAACACTTGCGAATTCCTCCACACGGGCAATCTTCGGTTTCAATGGCTTGCGTACATCAGAGAAACCAAAATCATTACAATGCAATTGCCTGCCAGCGGAAAGGGGCATTGAAAGAACTTTTGAGGATGAGAAAGGAAGATCCTTGCATACTTCTACTGCTCAGCAATTGAAGAATGGTAATGGAGGTGTACCTTCAAGTAAAGGGTTGACAAATTCTCTAGAGGATGAGGCATGGAAATTGCTGCAGGAATCCATGGTGTTTTATTGTGGTAATCCCGTAGGTACGATTGCTGCTAATGATCCGAATGATTCGAGCATTCTCAACTACGATCAAGTGTTTATTCGCGACTTTATTCCGTCTGGGATTGCTTTTCTGTTGAAGGGAGAGTTTGATATTGTGCGCAACTTCCTCCTTCATACTCTTCAGTTACAGGTGAGACTCTGCAATGGCTTATTCTTTTCGTTGACGATGCATCAATATCATCTCATTGTTGGCTTCAAAATTTATGCTTTAAGAGTCTTTGGTGCTCACACACTATATCACATTATTTTCTTCCCATTTTAGTACAGTGAAAAAAAAGGCCCCAAGTTCATTTCATTTCTGTGCAATCTATTGTTAATGTTATTGCCCACTGTTCCATCCAAACAGAGTTGGGAGAAAACAATGGATTGTTACAGTCCAGGACAGGGGCTGATGCCTGCAAGCTTTAAAGTGCGTACTGTTCCACTTGACAATGACGAGAATGCAACCGAAGATGTGTTGGATCCTGACTTTGGTGAAGCGGCAATTGGTCGGGTTGCACCTGTTGATTCTGGTATGTTTTCACTGCAAGAAGAATATATAATAGTAATAAGGCATATTTGTCTGAAATTATGGATGCCTTAGGCACTCACTCACACATGATGACCTTACTACTGCTGCTGTTGTCTCAGGGTTATGGTGGATTATATTGTTGCGTGCATATGGGAAATGTTCAGGAGACCTTTCTCTTGTGGAGAGGGTCGATGTTCAAACTGGAATGAAGATGATATTGAAGCTATGCCTTGCTGATGGTTTTGATATGTTCCCAACTTTATTGGTCACCGATGGCTCTTGCATGATTGATCGCCGCATGGGCATTCATGGCCACCCTCTTGAAATTCAGGTTCTTTTTTCCATTTGTTTTTCCCTTTATATTTTCGCCTTTAGAACATTCCAACCTATTGAAATTCAAGTTAATTTGTGTTCTCAATATCTTGTTAAGAGTCAAGATGTGATTTTTACATCACATTTTTATCCTTAAACCAATAGAAATTTATTGGCAGGCACTGTTCTATTCAGCCCTACTTTGTGCAAGGGAAATGCTGGCTCCTGAAGAAGCTTCGGTTGACCTTCTAACAGCTCTTAACAACCGTCTCCTAGCATTGTCATTTCACATCCGCGAATATTACTGGATTGATGTGAAAAAACTTAATGAAATCTACCGTTACAAAACAGAGGAGTACTCTTACGAAGCAATCAACAAGTTCAACATATACCCAGACCAGATTCCTCACTGGCTGGTTGAATGGATGCCGAGTAAAGGTGGGTATTTGATTGGGAACCTGCAGCCAGCTCATATGGACTTCCGTTTTTTCTCTCTTGGGAATCTATGGTCCATTGTGAGCAGCCTTGCCACAACAGATCAGTCCCATGCTATATTGGATCTTATTGAAGCCAAATGGGATGATTTAGTGGCTAATATGCCCCTCAAGATATGCTATCCTGCTCTTGAAGGTCAAGAGTGGCGTATTATAACTGGCGGCGATCCAAAGAACACGTAATGTCTCTCCCTACATCATTCTTATTCTAATGGCTCTATGTTGGACTATGTAGTTTGTAATTATGTGTTTTTTAATGTTTACTTTTGGCTCTTCGTGCAGGCCATGGTCATACCACAATGCCGGTTCTTGGCCAACTTTACTTTGGCAGGTTAGAATCTCATCTCTAAGATTCGGGAACCAGAAACTTTCCACTTTTGGTCTCAATCCTATTAGGTTATTCCATTTTTGGTACCTGACTTCCATTTTCGATTCACACCTATGAATTCCTTGCCATTTTTTTCCTTGTGACTTGTCCCGCAAAAAAACAACCACAAATTGTACGAAAATTGACTGGATAGGTGGTCAGAATGACCAAAAGTGACTGTAAATTTTACATGCACTAATGCTATTGTTTGGTGCCTTGCCATTATAATTTTTTTATTACATCAAAAGTTAAAATGAATGTAGACATGCATCATGTCTACATTCATTTGACTTTTGATGTATCATAAAAGTCACAATAGCCAGTCAATCAAATGTGAATGGTTTAATTTGTTGAGCAAGAATGGCAGCAAGATAAAGGTTTCAGCAACCAAGTTTTGGCATTGCGTTTCTGAAAGTCTTTTTTGGTTCATCCTTTTTTCTTCCAGCTGACAGTGGCATGCATTAAAATGAAGAGGCCAGAGATTGCTGAGAACGCGATTAAGATCGCGGAGAAGCGCATTTGCAGAGACAAGTGGCCCGAATATTATGACACCAAACGAGGTTCGTTCATCGGGAAACAAGCACGTCTCTTCCAAACATGGTCTATTGCCGGATATCTGGTGGCAAAGCTCCTCATTGCCAATCCAAACGCTGCAAAGATGTTGATTACCATAGAGGACACCGAGCTTCTTAGTGCTTTTTCAAGCATTCTCAGTTCTAATCCGAGGAGAAAAAGGTCCCGGAAAGCAGCCCAGAAACAGAGTTACATAGTATGATTAAATGGTCATAGCATGAGTTCAAGCAAGCAAGCCACATGGTTTTTTTCCCCCTTCTGTTTGGTTCCTTCACTTTATCATGTTAGTGATGGAATACATTATTAATGATGAAATTTCTTGGAATATATTGAAAGGTAACTCATCAATACCCCTTTTGTATAGGAAAAGTGAACATATCTTTCATTTAAAAAAACATCATATCAATGTACACCTTTTTTTTGCTGTACAACATCACAACATACTGTTTGCTAAAACATGTCAAACACAATGCCCTCTTCACCACTTGTGCCTTCTTTCTCACCCTGCTTCTTCTGAGAGTTGGTTGGGTCCGGTATTTCAGGTGGGGTTTGACACCGAATCAAAGCCCAGTTCAGACCCTCGAAGAACGAGTGACCCTTGATCTCAGTTGCGCCTTTAG